GTTTTCTAACAATAAATGTGGGAATATGGAATAAAGCTGTGGTTTCATTTGTTTTATTACTCATGATTTATTAATATGAAAACTGCTCTTAAATACTCTTTCCAATAATTTGTGCTGAAATGAGATCTAGATGGAATTTTGTTGTTAATCGCTGATGCAATTATGGAAAATATTAGCAAAATGTGAAATTATTTCACTGTAAAATAATTAAAAGTAATACTATGTACGCATTCATGGCACAAAATTTGTGCAGGTAATTACCAATGATGACATCAATGATGTGCTTGTCAACAATATCTATCCTTTATCTCAGTCTATATTCTATAATGTTCTAGACATCTTGTGAATAACTTAAATATATAAATTGCTTTCCTTTAAAAGAAATAATGGTACTTATGCATTAACCTGTAAACAATACATCTTTGGGGTAGTTCTTGGAACTTGTAGAAAATCTTGAAAATTGAAAAATAACGTGAGGCATCAATTGTCAACAATCACTGAGGATCTTGATTTTCTTCCTACCAATGGGAAACTGGATTTGGCTGAAAGAAAAAAAAAGTGAACTACAGTTACTCTACTCTGAGACAAAAACTTAAAAAGAAGGCAATTATTAAATATGAAAATTCTCAGACACAAGCCTAAAATTTTCCGTACCGTTAGCTTACGGCCAACCTGGTCGAAGGCCTTCATCAGACTGACGTGAGTAGTTGTTCACACTCACTGACCGCTAGGTGGTATAGCGGCCAGGACCCTCTTATAAATGTCAGGTAGATCCAACAACCAAGCTAATGAACCTTTTTGCTCAAGGCAATTATTGTTCTCAGATAAAAATGATGGCACTTTCTTGATGTCTACAAATTATATTACAGTCAATAAATAAATTTTATATATATATATAAATTTTATATATATATTATAATAATATCTGTGTAAAACCACCAGATGACAGCCAAGTGAAATCTTAGCCTCAAATTTTAGCCGCTTAAAAAAAAAAAAAAAAAAAAAAAACTCCTCCTTAACAAAACCATGGATCTGCCAGGATGTCAAAACACCTGACAAGCCTTACCTGGGGGTTGTGTCATTCTGGATGTCAACCAAACAAATCCGTCTGTCAAAGACACTCTGTTTGATGCAGTTACTTCATACAGTTTAACTAAAAAAATATTAAATCATATGGATTAGTCAAACAGAGCTGGCAGTCTGTTGCATACATGGATGCTAATCAACAAATTATAAAATGTAAGTGCTAACCTAACACAGTAATTTAAAAATTAGAAGCTTCAGCAATCAAAAGTTGACTGCCCGTAGCATAATATAAGTTAAGAAAAGCAAAAAATTATGATCAATCAGATCTCCTACATCAGACAGAGCACAATTTTATTTATTTCAGCATGCTATTTAACAAAGTGTATGTTATTGAATTTATTGTTGCAATAATCCATGAATTGGATAAATAGAAAGCAGTTATAAGAACAAACAAATATATTTTATAATTCACACAGTGCTTGTTTGCAGTATATGCCTGACTATTATCATGATAATGGATCTTTTCTATCCTGATTCCTTCTTATCTCCTTCTTCTTATATCTAATTGGAATTATCATTTCCAATTGCCAGCACTTGAAAAGTTTGGTCTCTTCTTTCTATTTATATCAGTTTAGAACAAGTCCCTCTTGGCAAGTCACAAAACATCCCTCTACTAAAACCTACCCTTTTCCTTCTGTGCCCACTTTTGGGCAGTTTGTTGGTCCACTTGGCGCAGTCCACTGTCCACATCAATCTTGTTACCCAGGGCTATTACTGTCACCTACATAAAATATAGATAATGTTAGATAATATCTTGTCCAATAGGATAAAATGTAGAAAAAATTGTCCAATAATATTTACCATTGATTATATAATCATTTTTATGCCAAAACCACAATAAAAAGATGATTGAACATTATACTATTGTGTAAAAAGTAATCTAGATACTATCGGTTTAATACATATCTCCTTAAAAGCACTGTTAATAGTAATTATATCTACTTTGGTAATTTAAACAATAATGTTATTTTTATAATTTAAACCATTACCGAGTCAACTATTACAAAAGAAAAAAGTTAAACAAAGCATGTTAAGGAAATGCTGCATTGCCAAAGTAAGCAACAAAGAGTCTAAACAATAATGCTAATTTCTTATTCCCATCAGAATTTCAACAAACCTCTTTCTTCTCTTTGTGCTTGTCAATGTCTTTTTTCAGTTTGTTGATACAATTAAAGGAATCAAAGCTGTTGACATCATACACTAGGACAAAACCCTAAAAGCAAAGAACACAGTTGAATAAAATAGAGATAGAAGTCAAAAGGGACTAATGTATCATGACTTAATGGTCATGTGATGTCATGGCAGTGACAGGTGATGCTTTCAAAACTGAGCATTTAAAATTTTTATTTATAAATGATTTACGAAACAGAAACAGAATAACAGAGATTTCAATTGGAGCACAAACACCCTTGCTAGTCCAGTTTAATGTACCTCACAAAATGATGTATAAAACATTTTTTCTGTGTTTTAACATTAATCAAGGACACATTATGATTTTCACTCTACTTTATTAGCTGCCAACTGCACTTGCTAGTCCACCATGATTGTTCCAGATCCCATTCTCCCACAAATTCCACAAAATCTTACTTGAATTTATGCTAAGCCCCAGCACTTAATTGGGCTTTCTCTGATAATTTCCAAGCTTTCAACTTACGTCTGCATTTGTGATATAATGTCTTGGCATATCAACCTGAGAGGAGTCCTGAAACAACATTAAACTGTCTAATAACATGAAAGGACTATACATCACTATCTTCTACCTCTGTAACATACTACTTCTCCTGTGCATCTTACTGCCAGAGTGATTTGGTTTTCTACAAATTCTATTTGAGTTTTAACATGAGGTGCCTAATAAATGTAAGATGTAACAGCTTCTTCCCTTTAAACATACTAAGATAAGAAATGAAACATTTCATGGAGATATGATATTGCTGAAAAAAAATGTGAAATGGTCGTCAATTCAAATTTAGGAACAAAAATTAAGGATATATAATTATCCATAAATTAAATGATAAACTATAATTGTTAACAGAAGTTTTTATTTTACGAATACAAGTCACAGGGCTAATTAATATATAATTTTATATGCCAGAAGCATCCCCGAAGTAGAACATCTATAAAAATCCCTACCAGGCCTGGAGTATCATAGAGCCTCACTTTCTCCTTTACTCCTCTATCTGTGTCTACATAGGCAACATATATGTCCTCTATGGTCTTAAATGTTGGCTGAAAAAAAAAATCCACATCAATTTTATATAAATGCAATAAATGTTGATCTGTTAATTATCATATACAATTTTCATCGATAACACATGTGGATAACAAAAAATCCACTAGCTATTATAAAAATTTGAAGAATGGTACAAAGGCACATTTATTTACTTATATCGATACATTTTACAGTCTTATGTTCCATAATTAATACAATAAGTAATGTATACTGCAGGAAGTCAGTTTGGATGCCAGTACAATTGGCAATATATAATTCATATAAATCTTATCCATGAATTATGACATATTTCAATACAGAAATTAAAGAAAAGGAAAACAATAAATTTATATATATATATATAGAATAATTCTAACTGACCATCTTTCTGGATCTGATGGTCTAAACCTGCCTCTGGCAGGCAATTATCTAACACCAATAATCCCTTCCCTGTTAACAGTGTTACAGATTGAAAGGCCAGTATAATAATTCTGGTAATAAAACTCAAAGTGCAAAAATCTCTTCGTATTTGGAGCCAGGGAAGTGTCAATCACAAATGGGCTTAAAGTCATACTGTCCAGCACTGAGATTTTAATTAGGAGTAACTGAAGGAGGCTGAAGCTCAAATCACTGAAACAAAGGAAGTGAATGTAACATTATCTTCTTGTTTTTGGTAAATGTCATCAAAGTTCACAAGCTTCCATTAGTGGCATTCTTTGAATGACCCTTGGTCACCTACAGATTACACTTGATGACAGTTCTCAGCCATTGTTAAAGTAAACAGGTGTTCCTCATACTTTTTAATGTACATGTATATACAAGCCTAGCACTTCATAATAAACTTTCGTAGAAGTCAGACGCATTGTTGTTGTCTCTCTCCTGAATAGAGTCCGGCACGTTGGACTCAGTAAAGAGCCATCATATTACAGTGAAGGTGGTCCCCCCCCCCCCCCCCCCCTGTATATAATTGTGCAGTCAGTGTACAGTTTCAGATTGCATTATCCTAAGATCCATAATGCCTACCGTAATTGCTTGCGAGACATATTGCGTTTGATTTCACACCTTCACACCTATTAACGCGTCATTCTTACCGCTCCAACAATGTGATTGCCATATATTAGCTGCTCTATGATAGCCGTCTTCCCGGTCAGTGTCTGCCCACAAACAACCACTCGCCAGGACTTCCCCATTCGGCAACCAGCTGCCCTCTTCGGATTTCACGCCAATAAGTGAAGTGCCTGGTATAAAAACGTAAGCCAATCTAATATATTCTCTATTCTATTTCTTCCATCGGCTACATTTTCTATTACATCACAGCAGAGTTACTCGTAAACATAGATGTCCATCCGTGTTCCGATAGTTTGCCGTTGCCTCTTTCTCGAGATAATTCACACTATTTATATTTAAATCAATACCGAGGTTTTAGTGCACGTGGAGACTATCGACAGCCAGTGGTGATGCGCAAGGTCGCAACTAATGCAATTTGAGAAATTAAGCCGAAGACAAATCCATCATGCTGATAGACAGAAACTGAATATCAAATTGCGGTTGAGAAGATATTACCTAGAAAAGGGGTAGCAGGTTAAATTCCATGTACAAGTAATTTTACTTTTGTATCAGTTAAAAGTGTCAATGTAGACTCAAATTGGAATTAGTTTCACTTTATTGAAATAAAACTGTTATTGACTTAAAGAACAAAAGTAAATTTTCAACGAACACTTTTATCAAAAATATGTCTTCACTCACCCGTTTGTTAAATAAACTCAACCAGAGCATTGCTGGGAAACCCCAATAGGAAAGAGCACGCGAGGCTGACTGTGCACTTGCATCTAAGGTGAAACGCGAATAAATATCTTTCAAGCTTCAGTGTGAAAAAAAGTCGACGTGACAATGGTGTCGCTTTACCATGCCCCAGGCGGATCATGAAGACTGTTTTGCTCAAGGTTATTTCCATTCTGTCTCTGCTATGTGAAGGTGTGTCTGGATATGGAGGATCACCTCGGCCAGGAGACGAAGGTAAAGGACGTACGCTCGGTTTATCTGTAGTCTGTGTGATGTAGTCTTCACATGTGCCATCTGTCCGTCGTCTGGTACTATTGTGTAAATTAAGATTGCATTATCTGGTAATTGCTGTACTGGTACGTGCTTTGCTTGATTAATCGATAGCTACGAGAATATTGTCGTATGTTTGGGTGTACTTGGGGGGGGGGGGCTGGTGCGTTTGTCTTCGTTTGCGTTGGCGTGTGTGTGTGTGTGTGTGTGTGCTCGCGTGTGCAGGGAGGGGGGTGCATGATACCTAACTTTAGTTGTAACTATATATGTCATGTATATTATAGATATTGTTGCCAAATGCATTCTTGTTCCCATGTCAATCCCTTTTATACCCATACAGTGAACAGATATTGCCCACTGGTACAATATTTAAAAGCCATTAAATACTGGTAGTACTGAAAAAAAAAAAAAAAAAAAAAAAAAAAACATTACTTGCCTTGGGGTTTTGTGTATTAAGAATTATATATACATGTATATGGTGCCAAAAGCACCGTTAACAATTTTTTCTTTTTGTTCACATCAATTATCCAGTTTTTATCGGCAGTTACTGTACGTGTTACTAGTAATAAGTTTCAGACTGATAATCAAAAATGTTATTTGTTAATATGTATTTTTTATTCACATGATTGTATTTTACTGATCAGGTTCAGTGTACTTTTCAAATGGAAGTCATATCCTAAATTTTACCACAGCCGGAGGCTACACCAGACTTGGCATTTTACCACTAACTAAGGTAAGCGGCAAACATTTATCAGTTTGTTATTGTATGCAAATTTTGTGGTCACTGTAGCACAATGATCTGGATGCATTAAGATGTTGTTCACAGCTAGTATTTATACCAATATTACAAGCTGAAACAATTAAGTATTTTGACAATTTTCTAGTTCTTATACATGTACTTACTTGAATCAATAACTGCATTGTAAACCTATTCAGTCAACTGAACGTGTATCAAAGCATGAACAGGTAAAGATGATCAATATTTTGGGACATTGAATGTGATTTTAGAAAACATTACTAAATAGCTAAGTCAGAAAACACTTTCCCAACATTTGCACTACTATGCACTTATTGAATAAAGTAAGTATAACCCAGGTGTAATAATTATGTTGGGAAAAGCACCTTTTATGACACAACAGAAGAAAAGAAAATAACAATATTTCAAGGTTAATGGATAAATATTTGTAGGTTACCATTCATATTATTTATTAAGTCTTATTTTTTAGGAATTTAAAAGTTGGAATACTGAGTATATCAGGAGTTTTTATGATAATTAACTCATCATGTTCAGTGTAGTGTAAATTTGAAATTCCTAGAAACCAGAACATCTTAAAAATTTAATTTAAATTGATTAAGAGTTATCGGATTATATGTTATCCAGTAAAACCTTGCAGACTTTCGAGACTCCCATTCAAATATGAAACCAGGTGCAAAATAATGAGTTTAATTTCTGAGCCACTATCTGCAGACACAAAAATTTGATTTTTAACCAGGTGTTTTATGTTACAAATATCAGGTACTTCATTAAGTCATTGGAAGTTTGCCATTTAAGAAAGGTGAAAGAATTGTAAACCTATGTTACTAAGATTGGAATTTTGCTGGGATTATTACCTTGACAAATTAACCTTCAGGAAAGATATTATCGTGGTACTAGTATTTTCTAGTAATTAAAGCAAAGATATATTGAAATCAACTTTTTTTGAAGGATGAGGTTTGGAAGGCCACATTAGATCTATTTTTACTCTGCTAGCAGTTTTTTTTATAATAAATTGTACAACTTATTAATTTATTTATCTCTTTTTTTTTTAAGGTAGGAGAATGAAAGTTATCTAGGCAAAGTATCTCATAATCAAACCAGAAATCATTTCACCCATTTAATATATATACTAAATAATAAAATGCCTTTGTGAGAAAATCCTTACTCTAACCATCCTTTTGCTAATAAAGCCCTGTAGAAGCCACATGCGTGAGACTTATCTACCTAAATTCACCCCATTTGCGAGGCTCTTACTTTAAACAGGAAGAGTGTCCGACACATCCATCGCAAGACGTTAACCTCAACTACATATTAGCTTTATCTGACTTTGGCTCAGTTCAATCTGAATATCTCCTCATGTACCATATCCATCAAGATAATGGCCATTAGTACATTGATTGCAGCAGATCTAGATCTGCCCGAGCAGATGGTCCTGATTCTCAGGTTTGTTTTCACTCTGTGATTGCTGTACACCCTACTGCAATGTATGTTGTTATAAAGAGCATGTGTTCTATTCAGGAAAAACAAAAATTAGGGCTAATTGGTTATTTGACCAATTTCACATTTTTTTTCATCTTCTAGTTGTATATGTATATAATTTTATGTATAAAATCAAACTTCAAGTTAGACCATGCAATTTGGATTTAAAATAGTGAGCCTGACCCTTCTGTAATAACAATGATGTTATTTGTTTTAATAGCTACACATACTAAGTGTGCTTTATATAATGGCTCACACATCACCCAGATAATCGCATTACTGCAAAGTGCTTCTACATGTAGCTTTATGACAGTGTATTTATTTGTGTTTACATTCATTTAGAGTGTATTTTGGGGAAGACACAGGCATAAAGTAATAGCCTAACAGGTAACAGTCATATACAGTATCTGTAGCAAAAAGGATTAAATTGGTTGAATGTGACTTTGTTGCTGAAAATATGATATTTATTATTTAGTTGTAAACAAATGTAAATTCCAGCAGACATCTGAATTCCTCACAGAGATTGATAGCAATAAATTTTACTCAGCTTTTAATCATCAGAAATCCAAACATCAAGAAACACATTTGAAAATTATGTTTTTTAATGAATAAAAAAAGTTGACTTTATCCAAAAAAGGAAAGTATTAAAACGCTGTCAAAATCTGTATTAACATTGTGTTGGATACCAAATGTTTTACCACTTAATCTGCAAAGTAAATACATACAATTGGTATATGTATGTACATGTTTGAATAGAAATGAAGAATTTGAAAAAGCAAATTTGAAGTCTTGCTTGAATATGATAATTATCTGTTTTATTACCTTCCTCAGAATGAAATAAAGAGACATATGTTTATATAATGAATGACTTATTAATCACAATCACCTGGTACCCTTGTTACAGCACTATCTTTGTTCAGTTAAACACCTGGCGCAAAACTTATTCACTTACTACTTTAAAGACTGTTAAAATACCCAGTTCACTTGAAATAGACTTACCTGAAGTTTTAGTGGCCCTATTAATTTTGAACTGAACCATCTGTTAAAGACATATCCCATGAAGTTAACAGGTAATCTATGACCATTTTGAAATTCTAGGAGCCATTAACCTTGGTAATATTCCATTTAAGGTCACAGTGTTCAGGTTGTAATAATCTTTGTCACAGATCTTCACTTGGAGAATCGGGGGGGTTAATGGCCATTACCCGTAAGCATCAAATGAAAAAGTGATAGACAGAATGTAGTCAGATTGCATAAAAATTGACTTATTGCATAAAAATGCATGAAGATCGACAGATTGCTTTATAAGGACAATTGAAGCACTAATTAATGCTCCTTGGCCATAAGTACGATTATAGCAAGCACCTGGTATCCCTTACCACATATTGTTTCACATTTTGAATTTCAAAATCAATGACATTAAAAAATGTACATGCAGTATAAAGTGATCTTGAGAGGTAGGAAATCAATCACAATCATGTAACTAAGACTTATGATAAAATTATAACTTAAATCATGAATCATAACTGAGAGCATTTAATGTGACATTATCTGTTGACTTTTAAAGAGTGCATCATCTATGTTTGATCATCATCATCATCTGTTGTTACAGTAGGAGAACTTACGAAATCATGATCCTAGATATTGTGACTTTTTAACATGTTTTGTATTTAATTTTCAACATTAAATTTGAGTTAGTCTATAATCTTTCAGTAGTGAAATTTCAGTGACTAGTTTTATCGAGTCACTTTTCATGGAACAGTTTTGTTGATTCTACTATTGATAAGACTTCATTAGAATCCAGCAGACAGATAGCCAAGTTAATTGCATCCTTGGGGGCTAGAAACCAATCAGAACTGAGTGGAATGCACCTGATTCATTGTTCATGAAACTGATTAACTCAACACAGATCTAATTTAGTATCCAAATACTTCTTACAAGAAATACTGTGCATTCTGTTATTTTTATTGTTTATTGGGTTTTACATGATAATGTAATAACTTATGGTTATGTACGTACCATAATGTATATTTATAATGCACTAATTATTTAAATATCATAAATGATATAATAGCTCCCATTCATGGACTATGGGTTTAAACATGCATCTTACAATGTGTCAACATTGCCAATTAAAATATGAAAGCCCTTTAAAATATTTTTAAAATATTTATTAATTAAAATATTACAGAATGATCTTCATTTCGTAATTTTTGATAAAAACTTACGATTGCATATTAATAATTAAAACTTTTGTACACAAAATGTGCTTAATTGTGTAAATATCATAGAAAACTTTTGTTCCAGCCCATAATTAGATAAGAAAAATGGAGTATCTGCTTTGTGTTTGAATATTTGCATCTTTTCACCACTGCCAACACCAACATCACTTCAAAGGGCTGTTGGTTTCCTTTGGCCTACATCAACAGGAATACATCATACATTCAAAAATCTGTGTCATTCTAGTAGAACTCTTGTTTTAAAAGATCATCAAAAGCTGTCCAGGAACTTTAAAGTGTTGATTTCAAAATGTTGCCAAGAATATACCTTGAAGTTCTTAAATGCCACTTGACAAAAAAATGAATAAATAAATAAAATAAATAAATAAATAAATAATAATAATAATAATAATAATAATAAATAAAGTAAAGAAAGAAGATGACAATAATAAGAAATAAGAATTTAAATATGGTAAAAGAAACTAGTCTAGTGGTAGAAGGCATTAAACCTGAGACTATTTAGGTCTATAAGTTTGTATGCTAAAATGCTTAGTGCCAACAATACAACAAGACATGTAAGACAGAGAGGGAGAAAGAGAAAAATATTAGTTAATAATTATAAAAATTAAACATTGGGTTAATTGGAATAAATAATTGAGTGTTATATAATTGTGAACACTTTTCTTTAAAATTTCTAAGAACATGGTTATTGTCCACAAATATCAAATATCTCCCTTATTCTGATTATGTCTTTGTTTCTAAATTCATCCAATTTTTTAATCTTCTAAAATAAAATACCTTTTAACATGAACCCTGGGGGCACTGTAATAGTGTATTTCAAAACCTCACAATAAACTTTTTTTCAGATTATGGTATGTCTTATAAAAGCATAGCTCTTGAGATAACATATAACCAATTACATTTCTTCAAACCCACTAATTGACCAACACACCATACGATTATTTAGCACCAACAAAGCGATACCTAGCACAAATGCACATCCAATCTGGTAGTGCTGGTTTATTTATGGGTTTGGTGGTTAATATGGGTGTTGGTGCTAAAAGATCTGTAGGTAGTGTTAGTAAATGCCTTATCCGTTTATAAGGCCTGTATGAGTAACCAGCACCATATGCCTGTCAAAATTACCAAACATCACTGCCACAGAGTACAGCAAGTCCAGACAGGAAGACGGTCAAATTACCAAGAATTTGCTAACCCAGCATGCAGGTAGCTGAGTTAGGGCTTGAAAGGTCTCAGATTCTCATTTGTGTGATAAAAACATAACTCAGTTTTAGGGGAGATAACGTGTTATATAAACTTGGCAAGCTGCTAGTCATAGGTGGATTCCTCTGATATTAGTGTGGGTGTATGAAGCTTATTTTTAATCAGCCTGGGGGTGAAAATTCCAATTCTAGGAGTTTCTCTTTAGTATTGATTTCTTGTTATTATTCATTTTGTTAGTCAAAAAGTTGCCCTATCTATTAGCTCATTCTGCAAAATAAAAGTCATGCATGTCACGAGTTCTTATAGTTCATTAATTTTTAATTATAATCAGTGCCGCATTTAAATGCATTGTTTGACAAGTTGACAGAATTCAATTAAATGACACAAAAAACTGTTCAGAGAGCCTTGCTTAGGCAAGGGGTGACAATTTCACTCAAGAATATAAATCAAATTTGCCCCCCAAATTTTTTTGTAAAACTGAAAGAAAGGTCGACAAGGACTGCTTATAATTTTATTAATTTCAATGGAATCTAACAATTAATGGAATCTTACAATTTATTGCCTTCAGAGAAACCATACCCGTATCGTTGGGCTGGCCGTGGATGTGGACGATGGAGTCCTTTTCTGGTCAGATATCAGCGTGGAAAACAGAGGGATCTATACGACTTCTCTCACTGCAGTGGATGAAAGGAAAATTATTGCAGGTATGGCAGAAATTCTCTTTGATGTTGTTTTGTATGGAAACTGAGTCATGATGCTTACAGCTGGGGTACAGTGTCATGAAGAATTTGAAGAAAAAGGATAAAAAGCTTATAACTGATGTTATTAGTAATATTGGTGTTTCTAGTATGACAATGACCTGTTGGATGTGACATTGATGTGTTGATGTGGCATTGAATTGTTGGATGTGACAAAAAAACTGTCTGATGTGACAGTTGAATTTTTGCATGTGACAGTGAATTGTTGCATGTGACAATGAACTGTTGGATATTACAGTTAAATTGTTGAATGTGACATTTATATCTTGATGTGACATTGAATTGTTGGATGTGACAGTGAGTTATGAGTTATGACATTTGTCTCTCTAGGTGTGACGGTGTTATCTTTATAATATGTGATTGTCTCAATGATGTGGCTACTAGTAGATGTGACAGTGAACTATTCTTTTTCACAGTAAGCTTTAGTGGCGCATGACATAATTATATCTTTATGCCATAGACTGCATTCCCACAAATTTTAGATCGATCTATCCCCGTGGGGAGTCTCACTAGATTACTGTTAGCTAGCTTAGCCGGCTTAAATGTCTGTCCCACCTACTGAAAGCTGTAAGGGGGTAATAAACTTCCGTGTGCGCTCGGCTGATAGCATTTTACCGTGAACCCCTAGGGAGGTAGGTCGATCCAGATGGATGAATCTAAATCTGTGGGAATGCAGTCATAGTGATGTTAAGGATGTCTCTGGATGTAACTATGAAGTGACTCAAATATGACAATTGTATATTTACATATCAGAGAGGTACATGCCTGTCCTTGAAGTCTGTGGTTGACATTGCGCTGTGTCTGAATGTAGTGGCAACATTGACAATGCTAGTTTTTGAAAGTAGGTTAATTACATACTGTATAATATAATATAATATAATATAATATAATATAATATAATATAATATAATATGTATATATGCTCCCAAGAAAATCCAAATTTTTCTTTGAAAAACACTATATAGACTATAACTTAATGTAAAAGGTTTGAAGAAAATGAAAGAGATTTCAGTTTCTGTCCAATTGACAGGATGTCTTGATAAGAAAATTAAGATTTGAAAGACAGGTGCATAAAGACAGTTAAAATGTGTACAGCATATCTCCACAAAATCAGTTATTTACACAGACAGGAAAAAGTAAAAACCATCTCTAGTGCCTGAGGAACATCAGGCTAAAAAAAGTAATTTAAGACCAGACGGGCCTCTAGGAATTTGTCTAGAATTTCGAAAAAAAAAAACTAACATGCTTAGGTCAAGTGTAAATTGGCAGAAAAGCCACCTCACCTTTTTGTACATCAGTGACCCCAGCAACTTGGATTCCACAGCCATTTCACCTTCATTACCTTGTGATATTTAGTGGAGTAGAAGACAGGTTGAGATATGCTGAAGATTTATGGCTTCAGGCAACAGGTTGTGAAGCTTTTTTTTTCAAGAGAATTTGAAAGCATCTCAACGATGGTCAAATAGGAACCTAATGAGGGGTGTGGTTTTTGTTATGTCTTTACATGTTTCTGAAAGATTTCTTTCCACCTCTTGAAATTAATTAAGATTTGAGTATTACATTTACAGCCCGGGGTTCAAAGTCTATCAAATTCCCAAAGAACATTTATTGGGATTCCATCTTTCATTGATGACTGCGGTCAGTGTTGTAAAAAAAAAAGGGTGTGGATGATTTCATCTCTGAGATAATTGACTGCAGCGTTATCTTTCAACTCTGAGGAACTGCTAGTTCAAGCAGGGCGTGTTCATATCCTGCTTGGTATTTCCTTTCCACTTACCTTAACCATTTGTATGCACAGTGTTTTCCAAAGCACTGCAGAATGTTTATACACAACATTTTTTTGACAAGTGTGTTCCCTTTATATTTTTCTTATCAATATCCTAGGAAAAGAGAAATTAGTCCTGAGTACACGCAACGTAAAAGATGTACATTACAGTATGTACTAGAATGTCAGTTACACAAAAATGATCTTGACATCTTTTGTCTGTTTTGCTGATTACATAAATTAAAGATTAAACCATGATAATACAAAATTTTGTGCACCATTATTTAGAGGAGTGAAAGTGTGATTTGCATAAAAAGTAGGGAATTTTTTCTATTTATGTTTTAGTAAAATAACTGAAAATTGTGAATATTCAGTAACGAAAGTTCATTTGCTGGTCAGATTTTTTAATGGTCAGAGCTATATCAAATTTTCTTTTCTAACGAATATTAGACATTTGGTGAGTGTTAATTTATACTCCAGAAATTTCTCAATTATTTTTAGTTTAAAAAAATTCAAATTTCTCAACTGGATCTTAAAAATTATATAAAAAATGACCACTTTTAACACGTTTACCTAACTTAAATCATAAGATTATTTTAAAAACTCAGTTCTGAAATGTTCAACTTAAGCTTTTAAGTGCCTTATATCAGTAAAGATGTATGCCAAATGTTAACAACTTATAATGCTCTTCTTCAATCATCTATTACAAGGCTAGCATGAATATAATAGAAAATACAGATAAGATAAAAAATTAATGATTTAGTATAAAGTGCAGATCATATTAATATGTTACTTATTTATACAATTTAGGTACATGTGCTTTGTACAGGTGTATACATTTCTCAGGTGTATACAATGTGCACAGGTGTGCAGTGTGTTCATAAAGCATATGGCCCATGTTATGTTTCTGAGCTGGAGAAAAGCCACCATTATTTTAAGGTAGTTCATAAATAGAGAAATGATACAGTGCCATTGGAGCCTAATCATGCCGTGATAGATCAAAGGAAAAAAGAGTAAAGTGCGTAATGACAAGAACTGCAGGATACAAGTATACACGCACACACATAAATGTAAAGAGAGAGAGAGGGAGATCAGGAAATTTCCTTTGTGCTGGGCATGAATCTTTATATTTCTTTTTTGAAACCTCTATGCAGAATGATGCTATGGTTTTTAATATTCTTTTTTTGTGATTGATCTTTTTATGTCAAGCTAGTACTGCTTTGGACATTTTGAATTAGTTCAAGTAGAATAGTATGAAACAGTTAAGCTTATAGTGTTTGGGAAACTTTTGGGCATATTTTTCACCATGAATTTGTGATAAGCAAAGGCCATAATCAGTTGTATACTATAAGATATTAAGATAAATACTCAGACCCAGTTTAAGTTCCTGGAAGTCAGCAAGTCCACAGAGACTCTAGCTGAGGCTTTCCTATCCGCTGCCACTCTTCCACAGGATGCTTCAGGTTTTTTTTTTTTTTTTGTACTTCTTTGGAGATCAAGCTAAAGCTAGCTGGCCTGAACTGAATTTTTTTATTACATAACATAAGGGGGCGTCAAAAAATTTACCTTGTAAAAATATATTGTACTATCTTACAGTCTGCAATTTATGAACACTGCAATGACACAGACACAGTGACTATTGTTTCTTCTGCACCATCTTGCATCAGCCAGTGTGCAATTTGTATTAATACTTGGTAGTTTGAAATTTTTTTGCAAATATCTTGGTCTGCTTGTTTGTATATTTTTTTGTTCACTTTTCTATTCACAATAGAGGCCACAGTACATTTAAGTATATGTCCAAAGCTTAATATATATTAAGCAATCAATGAAATATATAATTTCAACTTTATTGATCTACTTAATATTCATTTGAATTACCATCTTTGAACAATTGGTTTATCTCAATAAATTAATTAACAATTAACAAAATCATCTTGAACTGTATTTCCAGACTGTGGGGAAGTCCATGGACTCTCAGTGGACTGGCTGAGTAACCAAGTCTACTGGACAGACACCACCAAGAAAGAGGTGCTGGTCTCAGACTATGACGGGAAATACACCAAGACCATTGCTTTCTCTGGTATGCTGTGGCCAAGGGGAATAGTGGTGGACCCCATCCACAGGTTAGTCACACGCGCGCGCGCGCGCGCACACACACACACACACACACACACACACACACACACACACACACACACACAGGTTCTGAGATATCTCTTCTTCCCCTTCTCCCTCCCATAAAGTGATAACAAGCAAAATGACAGTCAATTTTTCCATCTCTGAAAACCCCATCAAACTTTGATAGAATTGTCCCCTTCTACTATTTCTTATTTGCCTAGAGAAGCAAGGCAGTGTTTTTTATCCATTCGTAACAGTACTAGTAAACAGATATGAAATTCTTGTGTTACAGGAAACCTCAACATCCCGTATCTGAGGCATGCATGCACATCTGTTTTCAAGTGATGATTTTTTGTTATGTGGAAGATATCACCTGTGCCCTTGACTTTGCTGTTTACATGGAAAAAGTTCAAAGCTTATGAGATAGATATTTCAAGTGGTTAAGAGAGATAGAATATGTTTTGCTGTAGGGCTTCAGTGTGTTTTTTAATGGTTTAAAAAAAGTAGAATACATGCCCGCACGAAAACGAAGTAGATACTCCAGCGCAGTAGACTAGCTACTGCAATCATACTGCAAACATGCTTCAAATCTGCTTCGATTGGGGAGCTAATTAGCATATTTGAAACACGCTTCAAACATGCTGCTAATCTACTGCATTAATGCTCCTCCTCTGTACAACCCTATGTAAATTTTGAAGTAGAATTGCAGTAGGCTATACTGCATTTCTACTGCAAATATGCTCCACACCACTACTGCGTTAATGCTTCTTTGCTACTTCGATACTACTGCATTTTCGTGCGGGTGCTGATACCAAAAAATAATATACAGCTGTTGATTTGATTTATTAATTGTTTTTGTTTTGTGTAACTAAATATTGTTGTCACTCTTTTATCATGGAGTTGCTGCCTCAGAGATGATGCCTGGAATAGAGTCTGCTTCAGCACCTGCTGCTCCTACAAACTGTCACATAAACCAATAAGTTACACCTGACACAACGCCAGCTCAACCACAGTGGCACATTTATCACATGATTATATCTAACATGTTGTCACCCAGAACACAGTGTCAGATGGAATATGCCATATTACACCTGGTACAGTTTCACACCTACCACAATTTCACACATATCACATCGTCACATAATTTCACTCCCAGCATGTTGTTAATTTTAGCACTATCTACTGGGGTGATCAGGGTCGTAGGACAATTGAACATGCACAACTGGATGGTTCTGTGAGAGGGACTCTGGTCAGAAAGGGAATATATTGGCCAAATCAGCTGACCATCAATTATGCAGATAGGTAAGAGGTAACAGTTGGATTTGGATATTGCTGCAAACTAAACAGTAAACATACTTAGTTGAGGTCATATTTCTACAAGATTGCTGGTGTGAACTGGACCCAGTTTGGAAAACATTTTAATACCTGAATTATATATATGTTGCAGAAAGAGATTTTTGCTGAGCCTAACAAAAATACAATTTTACATAATGCTTTGGTCACTTCACTGTACCCTGAGTTTCATAGGCCATTTCAAAACTCACCTCTCTACTTAGTATCAGCATACCTGAGCTGTTACCAGTATACTGGTATAGAAAGGCGATTTTTCAGTGTCCTCTGAAACTCGGGGTGCTTCACTATCATACTATCACCTTGACTTGTTTTTTGTGTGTGACAGCATATTGTACTTGAAATAGCCTAATTACCACACTAGCACACACGTGTACTCTGCCATGTCCATTATTATATTGAATGATGCTCTTTGTCACCCTTAGTATATATTGCTGCGTAATAGAGGCTCTCTTCTTTACAGTAAGTTATACTGGGTAGATGCTTGGAACAAGACAGTGTGGTCTTGTGACCTGGACGGAAGCCACGCCCAAGTCCAGTATGATTTCCGCGACACTCTTCAAGCCAACCCATTGTTTGGCATAGCAGCTGATGGTACGTACAGTATTCATTTCAGTGTGATTCATTGAATATGAGAATTTATAATAAAAACTAAATTTCCACAATAGAGGAAATTACTTGTTTTATCTCTCTGCAGCTAGTATCATGGTGCCAATCATTGCTGGCTGGCACATCCAGGACTATTACAAACAGGAGGGGTGCAAAATTGGTAGATAGAAATGCAGCATAGCTGTATTGCACATGGCAGCTTTTATCCCTGCCATGCAAAAATACCAACTTTGCCCTAAGCCCAAAGCTACATTCAACTTATTTTGCAGTTATTATAATAATACTTGAAATAGCCACCAAACTCACTTGCCCATTCATATCACTGACGTATTTTTCTTATTCTACCATAAATTTAACACAATGTCAAATATAATATTAAGATAATAACTTATAGTAGGGGAGCCAAACTCCAAAAGCCTTCCAGTAAGCAGATTCATAAACCCCAGATATCAGACTCTCCGACGATATATTAAAAAATTTTATATCATAAACATTTTTTTCACCCTTATTTTTAGCCTTGGCTCCCCAACTATTAATTGTAGCAATTGTCACATGCTGTGAAATTGAAAAGACTGCCATTTGACAAATTTTAGTTTTATCACATTGTCACAACTAACACAATGTCACTCATCAGTTATTCTAGCCTTATATGCCTAATCTTAATTTTCTTTCTGTATTTCTAAAAGGAACAACCATGTACTTCAGCACATGGTACAATGGTGCCATCTTTTCTACAGACCTTGATAAAAAGAACAATTCCGTGAAAGTTGTCTTGGAGGGGATGACAGGAGGGGAAATGTTCAGCATCGCAGTTGCCAGCTCAGCAGGCCAACCAATGGGTAAGCATCTTTAATGGTTACCTTTTTTTCGCAAGTGAATTTTATTTTATCTTCAGAAATACATACACTCATCAGCTGATGAGCAATATGTACTGATACAACATACTGTGAGTTAACCCAATTCCCCAAGTGCTTCCCATCTTAGACAAGCCTGCCAGTCATTTGTTTATGTTCAGAGTTATTCTAAGTCTGTTCCCAGCGGGTCCTGTTGACTTGGCCCTGGTGTTAGTTTTTATACTCTGGGGTGCATGGTCACAAATATGGGTATGAATACATACAGTGCATCAGGTCATTTAGTGTGCATTTTTCTGCTGTGTTATGGTACAGGTATTGGCATTTTACAGTAGCTATTGGTGTGAGATGGAATTATTTCATAGTTTGGTTATTTATCCAACTAAAAATGAATATGAGGCCCAAGTTCTTGTGTAAAATGTATTTAGATTTTAACCTTTCAGGGTGATTTCCAGTCATGCTGTCCTTTAACACTTAACAACTTCAATCCTACATTAATAATGACCTGTTCTTATGATATCCACTTTGATTTTTATATCCTTATGACCGATAGCTAATTGATATCAACATTTACATTGTCACACCAAGCACACTTTCACATCCAACAACATCAAGCTGTCACATCTACATGTAACCCTGTCATACCTAACATTTTGTCATATCTAGAACTCTGGGTTATCTTGTACTTGTTGAAGGAAACCCATCCAAAATATCAGTGGAAGTGTGTGTGTGTGTGTGTGTGTGTGTGGGTGGGGGGGGGGGGGGGGCTGGCACATTTTTTACCTTGTTCGGAATAACTGCATATAAAAAAACTTGCTTAAAGAAAAAGATTCACTTGATCCTGTGGACCCCAGAATAATAAACACTTACAAATAGAATAACTTAATAGAAATTAGTACTCTCAAACTCATTCTCAGCCATTTTATTTTTTACTTTTCCAGCAGCTGTGAATCTGTGTGACAACAAAGCACACTGTAGCCATTTCTGCTTCACCAGGAAGAGTCTGCAGGATTATGTGTGCAGGTGCCCTACATATGGTGGACTGGCACTGGCTTCAGATAACAAGACATGTACAGGTACAAGTACAAGGAATTCACATATTGTTTATACGTTAAAAGGACATACAACTTTTACCCATGCAGTGAGATCTTGAGTTTTGCTTACGTGGGGAGGGGGTTGGGAAACAAGTATGGATTATAAATTGAGCAATTGCTGAGGGAAGAGAGGCAAATATAAAACAGTAGACATGTTCTTTTTTTATTAAATTAATATATGTAAAGGTGGACAGGGTGATAAATTTTCTCGCCTGCTTTGGATTTGTTATTGTTTTTACATACAATATTATAGCAGTGTGTTGTGTCTACTGTCGTTTTTGCTAATATTGCCTTGCACTTTTCATTGTTTATGCTGCAATAAATGGACAACTATGCAATGTGTATCCTCAGACTAATACTGGAATAATTCATAGCAATTAAATACAGGTGTAATGTAAGTCAGGTAATTCATCGCATCAAAAAGCCACTGGCGAAGATAAAAAAAGCTATTTAATCATCCTCTATTGCATTTATTTTATGCAGTTTCCTTAAATTTAAATCAATATATGAAAATATGTAATTGCATACAATTAAGAAAAGATCTGAGATGATTCAGGACAAGGCATTTTGAATGGCTTATTTGCCACAATATAGCAACTAAAGGCAAACTGCTGTCTAAAGGCAAACTTTTTACATGTGGTGCACTGAAGGCCAAAGCCAGCTGGCCAATTGAAAAATATCCCCAATAGATATACACAGCACAACACATGTTCAGGTACATGGAGTTTGTTTTAAATGAGAGTAACTATAATACTTTGAAAAAGGCTGTAAAGGTATGGTACATGTACAGGAAGTAGGGGCTAAATATAGATCAAAAGACCAGTATTTATCTGAGTAGGGTGTGTGTTTTGGGCAATGAAAAATGACACTAAAAACATAAATGTACGTAACACTTGGCAGTTACTGAAGAGAAGGAAGTACAAGTAAGAGCTAACTTAGGGTAAAAAGCTGTGCACTTGATGCATGGACTCACTGCCGGGAAACATGTAGGTGTTGTCTGTGATTCTTTTGATAAAGATAACATATTGAGGAATGTACAGAATATACATGCTGTCAAGCCTGATGGATCCACTGTTTTGAAGTCTTGACTGCGTGGGGTCTGTGCTTGGGTGTGTGCACAGCAAGGGGCTTGTTTGCAGTACTGGTCTTTCACCAACCAGTATTGCCAAGCTTCTGTGGTATCTGTTTGATTTTGTTTGTTGCATGTAATTTTTAAGAACTGTTGATATTGGAAATTACCAGAGAGGTAGATTTTTAGTGACAGTTAGCACCTCCCCCTCAGAACATTGCTCTGGGCTTTTTTTTTTTTTTTTTGATGCCTTAATATTTCTTTCTTTAAATTAAAAAAATTGGAACACATAATAGGATAAGATAAGCAAGGAGACTACCAAATCTTATGTTACATAGAGTGCAGTCATCAAATCAGGAGACATTTCAAAATTGAGAAGGTTGACAGGCCTGATTTACTAGTAAATGTGATAGGGCTAAAAATTTAATATGAAATGGGATTTGTTGAAATCGCACAATAAGCTACATGTATATTACTGTGTTTACATTTCAGGACACGTTTCATGTATAAATTTTTAATGTTCATAGTATAAATTTATTTTTCTTGAGACTGTCCACTAATTATAACTTCTTCATTTCCAAATTTTTCTTCTTCAGAGCCAACTGACTACCTGTTTTGGACCAAGAAAGACACAGGTCAGATTGGATATCTCAATCCAAGTAAACTGTACAGTGGTGACACCTATCTTGTGGCACAGAGTAACAGACCAGTAGCAGTGGCTTATGATCCTGTTGATAAGGTACGGAATCAACAAGAAATTGTACAGTTAATAATGTATTGATTTTAATGGATAATTAAAGTTATTGAAATTGTTATATATTGATGAGAAACATTCATTGATTTGAACAAGATGTTTGCCACAAGACAAGTAGTGCTAGTAAATAAATGTGAATACTGTCATTTGGTAATAATTACTATTTGTAGTACTTTTGGTAACAGAATATGGTATTTGTTCAAATATAAATTTTAGACATGCATAAAAGGTTTGACACAATAAAATTGTTAAATGGTTTAATGCAATGATTATATTATTATAGCATAATAAGGTATTAACTACTCGTATATACCGGTATATGGTACACAGTCTAGTTGCAAAACATTAAAATGCACTCAAGAAATTATTGAATTATTCAGGAATTATATTGTTACACGATTTACATAATTTATTTTTAAAAAATTCATGCAGAAACAATATTTAGAGGTGCCTCATCTAAATATATAACAGACTATGCTGTTTTGATTATAGAAAGTCTACTGGAGTGATGTGAGGGAGAAAAGTGTGTACCGTGCTAACCTGAATGGAACATCTAAACAACTGTTTCTACCCCATACGGCAGGGATTGGAGTGGTTGATGGTGAGATGAGAAATGTGACAGTCTCTCTCTCTGTCACTCTCTCTTTCTCAGTTACAGGACAGTGATGTTTGTGTTTATTATATGATGACATAATAATACATATTGATAATTTATTCAACTAAATTAATGTAAAACATTTACATTCAAAATTGATTTCTGTGACGAGGTTATTTAAGGCCCGATTCAGAATAGGGGACTAACTAGTCCGAGGATCAAATATGGCCAACCTACTTGAAATCTTTCCCATGAATGGGATGTCTATTCAGTGTCTATTAGTGGATTAGACGGCAAGCTTTGTAGTGGGTCTTCATATTTGACCCTCTGACTAGTTAGTCCCCTATTCTGAGTATATAGAGTATAATATGTGTGAAAATACAGTAATATAATAATAATTACTTAGAATTAAAAACTGAAGCAGATGATTAGCTAAAACTTTGAATATTTCAGGTTTGGCAATGGACTGGAGGCACAGGAGGCTTTACTTTACCAACAGGAGGCAGCCTACACAGGAAGGGAGGGTGGTCGACGCTGTTTGGCACAAAATAGAAATGGTCAGTCTGGACAGGACTGGACGCTGGACAGTCACAACACTGCCAGAGAAACCAAGGGGGCTGGTTGTTGATGGGGAGAAAGGGTAAGAATTTGGTTTAGGTATCATTGCAAGATTTTTTTATTATGAAAGTTGTCATACTTATAGTTTAAATATTTTACTCTTTTGAATTTGGCATGAGTGAATTTAGTTATCTAGTACTAAGGTTCAACAGGGATCTGTTTCATGGCATTCAGTGGGAATAAGAAACCAAAATGAAAAGTGGAAAAATGAGGTGTGGCAGCAAAGTCAAAAATAAATTTACTGAAAAAATCTGTTACAAAGAAAATTAAGTCAATCAGGTTTTGTGAGTTTTGTCGCACATTGTGTTAGTGGTGAAACTTAACTAATAACATTGTGCTTGAATGGATTTGATTGTGTTAGGTGAGACTAGATGAAAATCCATTGCAACAAATTTTGGTGTACATTTTTAAGAAAGCACAACTTCTCTTGGGCTATGTTTAACAGATGTGATTGTACAGTAGACAGTCTAGACCTTAGCCTTTTTGATGAAATTTGCCATGGATTAAAACCAAAAGATGGAGTTATGGGCTTAATGAAGTCTGCTTGGTGAGCTTTGACATCACTTTCACTTTCACTTTATCAGGTACCTGTACTACACAGACTGGGGAAAGCACCCAAAAGTAATAAGAACTGAACTAGATGGTGCAAACCCAGCAGTTTTACGGGACACCAACATTAGCAACCCAAACAGCCTGAGTTTGTACCAGGGAAAACTTTACATGGTGGACTCCAACTATAACCGCAAGGCAAGGAGGCCATATGTGGCTGTGTATGATACAGAGACAGGGATTTGGAATGACATGGAGGGTCCTTTGGTGAATGTCCAAGTGAGTACATTTCAGCATTGACTTGTGAATGAGTTTTTTTTAATTGATTGATAATATTCCCCAAATAATATTTTATTAATTGGGCAAAAAATTTTGATGAAACAAGTACCTGCCCTTACCAAACCTCCTACCCCTACCAAACGTGCACAAATACTAATAAAATGATTTATTAATGCTAATGTTATGAACTATCGTAAACAAGAGTAGTAATAAATTGTGAGTGAAAGAAACATATCTTAATTACAATTTTCTTGGGGTATTCATTTTAAATCTTGTAAATAGTTAGTGTCACTTATTTTAGTTTCTTTCAATTTAAATTTGTAAACAAGTGTATCATTATACTTCTCTAGGTCCCCCTGTCCATAGCATCCTTTGGTCAGCATATTGTCCTGAGTGAGTGGACAGGTCAGCAGAAGGACATGGGCAGACTGACCATCTACAGTATGGACAGTGGCGACAGCCAGAACCTCTCTGTCTATGGGAACCCTACTGGACTGTTCTATAGCACAGCCTCAGTTAGCCATACAGGTACGGAGGTACAAGAAGGGGAATAATTTCTAAAGAGTCAGACTAGTTTGGTTGCTGTTATAACTAACAGTTTATGACAGCTTGTATAAAAAATTGGTGACACCATTCAGAAATGCATAGTTACATAATAGCTTCTTACAGGGATCTCCTCTGTTTTTTTTATGATATCAGATATTTTTTGTGAGTTGTCTTAAATTTGTTTGTGTATGTAACATGTACACAACTGTACTTGAAGATTTGGTATTTATAAAATGAGCGAATTTTCATGAAAAATATATAAATTTGCAGAAAACATCAGCTTAGTTTGCTCAGCCAGCAACTGTGATGACATCTGCATCCCAACCCTACCAGAGAGTGGTACAGAGTGCCGCTGTCAGTGCAGTGACCTGACTGGTAAAGTGCTGTCAAAGAATGGCAGGAGTTGTGTTGGTAAGTATTCACAATTATAAGTTATGAATTACCATTGAGGCACAGTTTAATTGATCAAAATAAATTGTAGCTGGAAATATCCAATTTTCAGAAGAAAATAAAAGACATTATTCAAGATAATTATTTAAATATATACAGTTGGAACATGCATCATAATATTAATTCAAGTATACCTTTAAACAAACACAGATTGGTTCTCTCCATTGACATTGACCATTAGTTCAATATAATTCTTTAATATCTTCCTTTGTTTCTCCGTCAACTCACTTAAACTTGCATGTAGTTCCATAATATACGTGTCAGTCATCCACGCAGGTTTCTTTCTGATCTTCTCAGAGGTTTTTCTTCCTAATCATTCTTCTCGCTACTCTGTTCACCTGTGCACACATTATCACCACTCTGAGAAATTCTATCATTTTTTTTCCTCAACATGTACATCACCCTCACTTTCATACTCATTAACATTTTCTGTACATTCCTCTTTGTCACATTCGCGTTCAATTATACTTTCTACCTTTCCAGGTAAAATGTTATCAACATAAAAGTGATCTTCTTCCTCACTGTCTGAATCATTCTTATAGATACATTTACTCTTGTATATATGAGTTTTATTTTTCCTTGGGTTAACACAGCTATCTGACTCAGACATTGATGATGATATTGCTAACAATAAGTTTCGGTGTAATACTTTGACTTGTTTTCCTCTGGACTTGATATACAGGGATTTCATTGTTAGGTTGGGATAAAACTACGAAAACTTCATCTTGCCACCTGTCGGCCAGTTTGTGTCTTCCCCCGTCCTGAAATGCTACAGTTTTTACTAAAACTCTGTCACCTGGATGTAGAGTCGCACTTCTTACTTTTAAATCATACACGTCTTTTTGACTCTTTTGTGCTCTCTGAATATTTTCTCTAGCTAATTGGTGAGCTTTGACTAATGTGGCTTTCAAGTCTTTCATATATTGTGTGTACGATTCCTGAGATTTTTCACGACAATCACTATCTCGTGTAGTTCACTTAGGGGGTTCAGTTTTCAGGAAAAAAAAACAACAACACGTGCATGCACCACGCATCACCATTCAATGGATATGGATACATACATTATGAAAAAAATGGATATGGTAAAAATACATGATATGGGACTTTATACACCATCACAATTGTTTAACCTACATGTACATGTATTAACTATTAGTTTATTTTATAAGCCTTATTAGTTTCTTTTATAAGCCTTATTTGATTGTTAAAACGTACATTTAATTTAATCACTTTCAGCTCCTGAGAATTTTGTCCTCTTTGCTGACCTAAACACCATCAAGCTGATCAACCTGGACAATCCAAGTGACAAGCATATCTATACACTGGTTCAGGGCAGTTATAATGCCAACTTTGTGGCCATGGTGTATGAACAAAAGGAAAGGAGGATATTTTGGGCAGACTTGAAAAGGTACAGTGTGCCATCTGTCTGAAAGTGATTTGTTCAATATAGACTGTGCATGTACCTGTCTTTTATTCCCACCATTTTAGTCATATGTTCAAGTTTTTTTCCTATGTCATAAAACAAAATCAAAATCCATTTTTGCATGCATTGTGTAAACCTTTTAATATTTGTGTAGTTTTCATGGGCAATGAATTAATCTACATCTCAGTATATTTTAATAAAATATCAAATTTAACACAGTACAGTGTCAAGTAAAATGTCATTTATTTACATTGTCAAATAAATTGTCATATATTTGCATTTTTGTAAACTTAAGAATAAGATAAGTGATGATGTGCCATGATTGTAGCCTAGTAAGTGTATAATAGTGCTGGAAGGTATTGTTTTATTTACAGTCCCAGGCTCCTGACTGTACCTCTAGATTCTCCTGGTAATGTCACCACCCTCCTGCACCTAAACTATGCAATAGACAGTATGGTCATTGTTGACCAGTTCAGGACACAAACTGACCAGTGGAGGAGTTCAACTGACCAGTCCATACCTTTGGCCGACTCATCTAGTGTGGTATCTCACACAGATAAATGGTCTGGTATGATAAATGACCAGTTCATTGCAGTAACGGATCAGTCCTCAAAGATGACCAATGGCTCTGTTGAGATAAGCAATCAGGCAAATAATCAGACTGATCAGACTACTGAAAGGTCTATTCCGACCACTGACTGGTCACGTAACACCACTGATGGGTCTAGCAAGATCTTTGAGTGGTCAAGCAAGACCTATGATGGGTCTGGTCAGATCACAGATGGGACTGGTCAGCATACAGATAGGTCAAGCCAGACCACTATGCAATATAATACAGACCAGACCCAGACAGTCACTGTTATGTCCAGAACTTCCACAGTCAAGCCAAGTAAAAGACCTGGACATTCCCTGCTCTACTGGGTGGGCTATAATGCCACAGTGGGTCTAATAGCATGTGTAGAACTAAGTGACGATGGTCAGTTGGTTCCAAGGATACTGACCACTGGGCTGGTACTGCCCAGAGCTTTGGCTGTAGATTCACAAAATGGGTTAGTTGACCATTATAATGAAGTTGTTACCATGCAAATTATTGTAATATTAATACTTGGTTGGTTGCAGTTGATTTATATCTAAATGGGCTAGACCAACTTACATGTACATGTACATGTCAAGTTTTCTGCCTTGTAAAGCACTGGTTTGATATTTATGGTAATTATTTTAAAAGACTTGAACCACAAATTATTATTTCCCTATCCTGTGCTTTGTTAGTATTAGTATTACATTAAAATGTTAATTCAGAAGTTTTGAAAAGTTAGTTGGCTTCATATCAATGAGTCCATTGTTGTGTTTAAAAATAATAAATCTTAAAAAAGTGAAACAAAAGAAAGACCTATGAAAGACCTTAAAAAGAAAATTAAAGTAACATGTTTGAATATTTAATTTAAGTATTTACAGTATTGTTCATGAAATGTGAATATAAGGAAAAAAAACTTGAACTTTACTAATCTCAAGATAAAACACTTATTAAACAGTATATTCACTTTTGTACTGTCTTATTTTTTCTCAGTTTCATCTACTGGACAGAATATGGCCTTCATCCCAGCATCAAAAGAGTGACCACTGATGGTCATAATATGCAAACAGTGGCCAGTGATGGTTTGAGGTGGCCAAATTCTGTTATTGTCCACCCAGCCCCAGATGTCAGCTCTTCATTTTTGCTTGTTGCTGACGGATATTACAGAAGGATAGAAAAAATGAGATTAGACGGTAAATTTATGTAAAAATTTACTATTTTCACTGCTGTTGGATAGGTACATATTTTTCTATGCAAATTTAAGAAGTTGTGATTATTTTGTGATATTCCACAGTTACTGTGCTGTTAATTGTTTCTTGTCAATGATTTAGGAACTACCTAGCTTGACAGGGTGCACGTTTTCTAATACCACTTTTAACATAATTAAAAATAAAAATAGGCTCCTTGTATCACTAAAATCCTCTGCTTTTAGGGTCCCTACGGCATGAGTTGAAAATTACCGAAGATCTGCCACATATCTATGGTATGGCACTTTACAGTGACAGATTGCTTTTCTTTACTGACTGGACTGGAAGCAGGATAGGCTATGTTGTCATGGATACAGGGCAGGTTATCACCATGGCAACAAATTTATATAGACCAACTGCAATTGCCTTCCAAATATCCAGAGAAGGAGGTAAAATGATGATTTTGTGTTTCTTTAAAGATCATATATTTCATTTAATATTTGTGAGCTTGTAAGTGGTAAATTAGTTCCTTAGATTGAAAATATTATAACAGGTTCCACTGAATTTTCCCCAATATTGAATATTTCCATGAAAAATTTCAATTTTATTATTATTATTTCCATGCTTTTGCTAAAATACCTGGAAATTATTCAGGATGTCTACAAGCAGTGACTTGCCCTGTCTTAACTATCAACTTTTTTTCTTAATTTTCTGTTGTAGAAAATATTCTGTTTTCATTGATGGATAAAATAAAGTCAGAGGTAGACACTACTTCCTCTGAAGGAAATACAACAAAGGCCCAGGAGAGCACTACCTTTTCTTGGGTGAATTCAACAAGTGCAGCAGAGAACACCACTGTCCATGAAATGAATATAACAGAAACAATTAATATAGCAAATGAAACTTTATCTGTGATAAATGCAACAGACAGCTCTGAGAACACTACTTTATCTTGGATAAATACTTCTATAGCAGTGGAAGAAACAACACTTACTGCATGGAATAATAATACAACTGCTGTGACAGAGGAATCCACCTATTCTAGCAGTAATACCACTGAGGTATTAGGGGATACCACTACCTCAGCTGATTTGGAAGATGGTAAGTTGGGCATCAAATTGGGTCTTTATCATGATGGTCTTTACTTACATAGTGGCTGATAATTTAGAGTATCACTTTTATGAAATAATGGATTTTTCATGTAGTTAAATTTGATAAAACCTTATTTAAAGAAATTATTAAAAGATTTAACTGAAGTGAATATGAGAGTTTTCTACATAATTATACACAAAATGTAAATGTGTAATAGTAAATCATTGATAATATACTTTTAATTTGTATTTTACGTAAAAAATCTCATAGCAGACATGACAAAAAGTATGATCACTTTCTCAACTTTATATCCCAAATAAAAGTAGCCATAATATGAATTTTTTTTCTTTTTAGGATGTGACCCACCTACAAAACCTGTCACTGGAGGCCGTCTTGACTGTGAAAACAACTACTGCCATCTGGTGTGCAATGAGGAGACACACAGACTCAATCCTCAGTTTACAAAGCTGGCTGTGCCTGGTGCTCTCTGTAGAAATGGAACATGGGACAATTTGCCCATGTTTTACTCTGAACAGTCTTGTTTAGGTAAGTTTTTTTTTAATATTTATTTCTAGATTTGATTTAGTTTTTTGTTTGCTCTTATATTTATTGAAGTGTGCTTGAATTTCATTTCATAATCCATTCATGAAAAGTTTTTATTTATTTATTTATTTATTTATTTATTTATTTCAGAAATAAGGAAGAACTACAGAGTTTTGGCAGAATATAAGATGTCACTAAAAGGAAGATGTATTTCTGACCAAACAGAACTCTTGGCCAAAATGAAAGACATAATACTTCAAAAAATGAAATCAAGAGGAATATGCTCTTCACTGAAATCAGGAGAGATACCGTGTAAACCCCAGCTGAAGTTGAATCTTAACTGTCACAGAAAACAAAAGAGTAAAAAGAAATTATTGGAAGTAGTTTCCTCTTCAACTCAAAAGAAGAGACGCTCATATGCAGAAGTCACAAGCACACATTCCAACTTGAATAAATATAATTCATCAGACAAAAGCCGAAGGTCAGTTTTAAGACCAAAATCAACTATGATGTCTAGGAGAAAAAATAGTCACAACCCAGTTGAACAAAACTCTTTATCTCCATTAATTAGTCCATCCAGGTTACAAATCCACAGCAGAATGATGTGGCGTAGAAGCATTGCCAGAGATAAAGCTGCTGCTACACTAAATCAGAACAGGTTAAAAGAAGCAGGTGATTTGAACACTGAGAGAACAATGTACTTTGTCTCTTCAAGTAAAAGTATTAAAGAGGAGGCAGGGGAGTCTTATGGAGATGTAGCACCATTTAGAAAACTTTCTACCAGAAGTCTCAGGGAGGTGGCATACAATACACAGAGTGAGGATGCAGATACCATGGAGCTGTTTTTGACTTTGCAAATTGATGCTAGGTATAGATGTTTTCAACATGCACAAGTCACATTCATAGGCATGCATGCACTGCACACACACCTCAAACACATATTTCTGTTGCAGCTAACACATCAAGCTGTTGCAATGTTCTTGATTCAACATTGTGTCAACATTCATAAAGAGCTCCCATTTCATACTCTCTCACACATTTTTACATCTTTGCCATGCCTCACAGTAACTGTCAACTGGACAATAGCCAACATAGCTATGTCACAATGACCTTTCACTTGACTCGCCCAGCACACTTGTCACTGCTAACACATTTATCATGAAAATATGTCACTTCATTATCAAAAGCATAGTAAAGGAATCAAATGGAAATAACTATGATTACTTATTCATCATTAAATATAGTGGCTCTCCAAATGAAGACAACATCACCGATGCCATCCAAGCAGCAGCAGCCAGTCTACAAGACTTGGTCAACTCCGGCCGTGGCCTGAGAGTGGACAGTGGTCAGTATGAGAGCATTCCAGGAAGTCTGAAGATCATTAGTCACAGGTGGACATGTCCTGAGGGACAGATAAAAGTGGAGGAAGTGTGTGGTAAGTAAAGTGTATAGCATTTTATCTGAGATATGTGAGGAATAGTCAACCAGCATATCTGATTGTTATATTCAGCTGTTACTGGCTTGTTAGGCCTGTATGACTCATCAAAATATGATATTTGCCAATATGTTTACTGTTGATAAGAGAGTGTTCATGCTGAGGGAATCTTTTTTTTTGTCTTCCACATAAATATCTATAATCTTGTATTTTGAGGCTAGGTGATCCAAAAATGTTCAGCAAAGTCATCCAAAATGATTATGATTTATTAATATTCTTATATATTAAATAAAAAAGTGCTTTTCAGAATACCTCTTTAGATTGAATGCATGTTGATTTACTGTGTTATATAAGGTCAATTTATATGTCTCTCAACAAGAACCACTACCCAAACAACCTATTATTATTTAAAAAAAGGAAAACGGCCAAATTGGTGTAACAGTACTTATGTGTCAAAAACAATTACCTGTATAGTGGTTGTAGGGGATGTTTATCGAGGCAAAGTACTGATATACCTGAAATATTTGATAAAGCGGAATTTGAAAGAATACATAATACTAGTATATCAAAACCCAGATCTTTTATATATTTTAAATTAAAATTACAGTGGCCTGTCCCAGAGGTAGCTTCCACAACAATTCCTCACCAGATGGCGCCAGTGAGTGTAGCGTGTGTGGACCAGGGACATACCAGGACTTACAGGCCCAGACTACCTGTAAACTTTGTCCAGATGGCACTGTGTCACTGGCTGGCAGTACACATGTACACCAATGTGAGTACAGCACTGTTTGCCCTGTATGTTTGCTGCAAATCTTTCCTGATTTTTGGCAAAGTTTCAGGAATCTGGCATATTTCCTATGTGCAATATGACAGCATATCATGTATTTACTTTAAAATTAAGAATGTAGACATGACAGCATGCAAAATTTGAAAAATGAAAATATTTTAAAGATACTAAGGCTTTCAGGTTATGGGTAAGAGAGTTTATAAAAAAAGTTCCAACATACTCAATATAACCAGATTTTACGAATCTGATTAATTCAGAATCTTGTAATGATAAATTATAGCATATCTATATGTGATAGGGATAATGCATGGTAATAAAGCTTGTTTATCTCTAGAAATTTAATCTCATACCTCCATTATTATTATTATTATTATTATTATTATTATTATTATTATTCAGGTTCTCAAGTATCAGGGTCAGGGGACACTGCAGGCACACCACCAGTGTGGAACCTGCTCACTGTGGTCATAATAGCCAGTGGTGTAGCTGCTGTAACATTTGCCATGTTGACATGCATCATCTGCATCACACATCGCAGGGATCGTAAAGTCATCATCACCAGTCTCAAAGATGGCGCCTCAGTGTGCACTAAGTCCACCAGTGACTTGAGCGATTATGGAGAGACATATGATCTTCGGGAAATGCGGCTATATAGGAATAGGATGACCAATTCTCAACCAGATCTACTTCCCATGGAGTTAATATGCGCCTGGAATCCACATGATATTCCTGGAACCAGTACGACTAGTATCCCTCGCAGCAGTACTGCTCCAGAACGGTCGCCAGGTGGCACTGATTACAACCCAAGCCTGTCCCACAGGGAAATGTGGGAACAGCCAGTGGGGGTTCACAGAGGGGGGAGACGCCTCAGGACTTTTAGGCCCAAGAGCGGGGACCTATCTGTGACATTTAATGATGAAAAAAAGAGTTCATTTTGATGGCAGAGGAATTAGTAGCTTAACTTTTAATTTATTGACTATGAAAGATATTAAGTAGATGTTAATGACGGTGACTTACATCTTTATAATTTGGAGATGAAATGTGTATTTGTGATTGTTAAATGGAAGATAAATTATCCTTCATGGTCAGTGATCATGTTCTCCCTTTACAATAAGTTTGTAAATTTTGTATCAAAATACTATATAGTCATTATGTATTTAATGCATATATTTAGTATTGATGAAATTTTTATTTACATTTTAATCATAGCAGGTCTTGTTGGATATATTTTTTAATATTAATCAGGCCAGTTTACCCGTTTTCATTGTCTAATTTTTTTCTTTAATAGTTTGTACTGCAGTAACTGTGCTATTTTTTAAAGAAAAAAATGATGTCATGGAAGGTTGCAGGCAGTAGAGTTATATGTTAAAATAGTCCATTTAATTTGCTCAAAGCACTCTGTGTAAAATAACTTTTTAAAATACAATACATCAGCTATTACTGAAACCCAAAGACTGCAATGTAGTTTGTTGTCAGACCACTATAGAAAAGTGACAAAGTTGTAATGTAGAAGTCACCTTTCAGTGAATCCTTTTCAAATACAAAGGACTCTCAAGTGTAAAAGTGCAATGCCTTATAGATGTATAGATGGTCATTTATATATTCTGAAAATGCCATTATGTATCAATTTCTCTTGTTATGAATGACACAAAAATAATTTTATTCATTGTAATATCCAACTTTAAATGGTGTTTTAGCAATTAAAATTGCTACCACTATCATAAACAGTTATGTCATGACTAGCTTAGTTCACCCTAAAACCTCTATAAGGCAGACAATCTAATCAAACTGCCATGGGAAATGTGTCATCTTCAGCAAAAAAATCGATTTTTTGTATAGATACACATTTATATTGAACTCTTTATGCTCAAGGTGCATGTAGCTTTCTTCAGCTGGCATAAACAACATTATATACCAAAAAGTTAGACAAGCATGAGTAATAGTCATAAATCTACATGCAAAACTGCCAGTGCTATACTACAAGTGGTACACTGCATATGTATTAGAGTGTGAGATGCTACATTTTAAATGCATGTACGCGATAGACAATTACATATCTGAAAATGAAAGAAACCCAAAATTAATCTGATTTTGTTTGAAAATATTATTTTGGCAGTGTGCCACATTGTTATTTTTGATTTGTTACAAATGTTTTATGATACACAAGTTATACTGTCCTTGTAATATAATGCTCTTTCTCCTTTTTTTAATTTTTTTTCACCGATTCCTTTTGTTTTAATACTTTTTCATTAAATATTTTGCTTATTATTTACGCTTTATTTCATTTATTTTCTATTGCGTATGCACTCTAGAATTCTACCATGTGCATTTTATAAGTTTCTGTTCATTTTATGAGTATCTGTTATATAGCAATAAATATATAAACTGATTATGTTAAAAGAACATTTTTGTTCCCTCTGCTAACAAAGTGTTGATTCTGTTTTGGCACGGAACTAACTTCATTAGGTTATATCCTACACGTATGCCTAGACACCCTGGAAGTCTGTTAGTTGATTATGATTAATCCCCAAGTGTAAACATAACTTCAAATGTCTTATGTAGCGGACCACGAGTAAATGAAGCAACACCATTGGATAATACTGCCGTTTATTCACGCAGTGTGAACAGAACTGAACAGAATCTGAACAGAAACTGAACAAAAACTGAACAGAAACTGGACAAAAACTAGTGAAAACTATAAAAAGAAAATAATAATAATAATAATAATAACAAAACAGTGAAATAATGAGATAAACTAAATATACTAAACTTAATTCATGAGATCTTAACAACAAACAATTAATCTTTACATGCGTGTAAGTTTTCTCTAATTATTTATTATTTAATTTTAAAAACACTCACACTAAAACAATATCCAGACTCGCTTTCTCCGCTGCTAAACTGGCTGCTCAGATACGGCCATGATAATCTGAGCTGGTACTGTAATTTTATTTGATAACATAAATATACATGTGCGTGTTGGTCAAGAAAATGCCACACCCATACTAACATAAACTTTAATAAACACGATGCTCATAACTTATGTTACTGATTAAACTTAAGTAAACTTATGTAAACTTTTGTAAACTACACAAAATACCTCTATATAAGTGAATTACACTTTATTTGACACATAAATTTTACACAATCTACACGTAATATCGTAACATACCTCCACTCTGCCAGTAAGTATATAAATGACCGCGCAGAGTACATGCAACATCGGCTTTTATACAGTTGATCACATGACTAGATGAATAGATGTTACTTAATATTGAGCAGTGTTCTAGTTTCTTCTCTAACACTATATAAATAAACATAAGAACAGCGTGGAAAATATAAAATAAAAATGATAACGTATATAATTTCTGCCGTGTCGGCAACATCTTATTTGGCTTGTCACACCTTAAAGCTATCGTTTTTACACATTGCTCTAAAGCGCCAGCAGATTCAGTTTCCTGTATTCATACAACGTACGCACTCTTTTTACATTATGACACCGATGTTAGGAAACTGAGGGTCCGTGTAACATGATAAATAAGTAAATGAAAGCTGAAAACATATGGTAAACAGCATAATAGAAACACTATCACAGCAGCTAGATCTCTATCTGTAACCTTGAACTACGTCAGTGTGTAAGCCAATTCGTTCAATACAAGGAAACGTGGTTAACTTGCACACATTTGCCTGCAGTGGTACACGAGTGAAAGGATGGGAGAATCCGTAAGGACGACTGACGGGACAGGTAAATTTTGTTTTTTAAAAGTGATAATGATCTGTCACTATAAAGATTAAAGATATTTCATTTTAGTCTCACCCATATAAAAAGAAATACAAAATTAGAAGCAGTAAAATATGGCTGTTCTATATAGAACGGTGAGAGACTGAATATCCCTCGAAATATACGTTATATAGCATTATTTATAGATAAAGCGTCTCCTTAATTCTTAAATCGGCAGCAACTCTTGGCAACTAAATTAACCATGTTATCATTACTAATCATAAGTAAAAATGTTCTGATCATTTAAAAGATCAAAAATGTTTAAAATTCTAGCAATTTTAAAAAATTCAACACGTTTATCAGTAAAAAATGACAGTTACGTAGAAAGTGGACCTCTTCCTTAATACACCCAAATTCACGTAAAGGGCAGGTTCTTTCCACAATAGCTAATTTTTCATATCAAGCTGTTTTTATTGGAATTGGGGCAACCCCACACATCATCTTAGCAAGTAACCTTCGTAATGTATGTGTGTGTGTTGTGTGCGTGCGTGTGTTGGTTTGTGTGTGCGTGTGTGAGAGAGAGAGAGAAAGAGGGGGAGATAGAAATTGTAGGGTCGCCTGTGTCTTTGAACATGCTTGCGTGTTGTGAATTTGCTGTGAAGTTCAGTGTACAATCTGTTGCTATCTCCATGCAAGTAACCTTCGTAATGTGTGTGTGTGTGTGTGTGTGTGTGTGTTGTGTGCGTGCGTGTGTTGGTTGTGTGTGCGGGTGTGTGTGTGTGAGAGAGAGGGGGGGGGGAGAAATAGAAATTGTAGGGTCGCCTGTGTCTTTGAACATGCTTGCTTGTGTGTTGTGATTTTGGTGTGAAGTTCAGTGTACGATCTGTTGCTATTTCCATGCATGATGATATGTTCACTAGTAAATGTGTCTTACTAAGAGGCATGCATTCGAAATTTTAGGCTATCAGTATACAGATAACTTTGACGTTACTGACGAAGTGAAAGAGCAGTTTGGCAGGGATGGTTTTATTATATTGCGGTAAGGCAGTAAACTGTTTCGAAACCTTACCCTCTTGTTTGCATGATTAACAAGTTTTCGTAAATGAAAGTTGAAATACCTTTCCAATATCAGCACCCCCTGTAGACTTTTTTGCTAGTAAATATTGGCATCTAACACTTGATATTTAAAATTACATTTTATATAATTTAAACCGAGTTTATTAACACACATATTTGATATTTATATTTGTTAAATACAGAATGTAATCCTTCATATATATTCGGTAAAGTGAAGGCTGATAAAATTCAATAAGGACAGATGATCACCAAACATAATATTGTATGCATCGACCGATTATGTAATCACCGAAATTTTTACCAATCACGGAAAAAGAAAAAGAGCCATTTGCGTCTGATCTTGGAAGACACTGACATTCAGGCAGCACTTGAACTTTCTTAAAACCGCTTATGTCTTTGCGTTCAGGAATTTTTTGGACACCGAAGAGGTGACTAACTTGAGAACAGCCCTGGAGCAAGACAAGACCCTGGAGGACAATTACTATACCAGGGACGACGGGGAGGGAAATCAGGCCAAAATGGCAAACTGGAATCACCCTGTGGATGACATAACCGGGATGATTGGAAGGAGTGATAAAGCTGCTGGGACCATGGAAAAGGTAGCTACAGTACATGTAAGCCTCATAGTCTTTATCGACTGTCGTTCATTTTTCCTCGAATGTAAAATCACGATTTCACTGCACAAATTGTTTTACCTAATACTAGGCCTTATTCTCTACATTTTTTAAGGGAAAGTCACAAAATGTGTTATTCTATTAATCTTATTTAGACTGCCAGGCTTCAGTATTCAGTTAAGATACTGAGATTATCTATCACTGTGGAAATTTGGCGTCCATTTTAAGCCTATAAATTAAATTATGTATCTTTAGTAAGGAAACAAATTTAAAAAAATCCAAACTTTGATTCCAGCTTTTAGGGGGAGAGGTTTATCAATATCACGCCAAAGTCGTCATGAAAGAACCGTTCACAGGGGGTGCATTTGTGTGGCACCAGGATTACGGGTAAAATTTTACTGGACCCTTTTTGTCATTATTTTGATACTATTTTGATATACCATGTGTCATTGCACATTGTACAAACCTGTAAGCTGCCAAGGTAAAAAATTTGAATAGCGTGCAGCCAGCATAGAATAAAGCTGTCTGGTAACGACCTTTACGTACTGCATCACTCGCATTCGCATTACCATTACATAGAGGAGGCTGCGTACATTTTTTAAAGAAAGCAAATATAAGACTGCAAGTTAGACCGCATTCACAACGAGTTGAGCCATGGCTCTACAAATCCACGAACTAAATATGGCGGACGTACACCGCCTCTCACACGCCCCCCCCCCTATGTGTCGTCCCAATGGAGCCGAGATTTAATGACTGTACTCGCGCAGGGACGACGCGTGGGGAGGCGTGTGAGAGGCGGAGAGACTATTTAAAGATTAGGCGGTTTTCTTTCATGTACGTCCGCCATATTTAGTTCGCGGATTTGTAGAGCCATGGCTCAACTCGTTGTGAATGCGGTCTTAGTTCTCTCTGTTTTTGCATTTTGACCACTGATTTTAGCATTAGCGCCACGGTGTTTATGCACAAGCTGTTGAGTCTACATTTTAGATTTCAGTTAGAAACAGTACCATTTAGGTCAATTTGATGCCATAACAAAATTTAGAAATGGCATTTGTTGTTAGATGAGATTTTAGATGAGATACCAAGCATATATATTCCCACATTTTCTTGATATTGGTAGTTATTTACTGCCCGCCCTGCTAATTGCTATTTCCAGTGATTGGTACCATTACGGCAACCTGTTTCCAAACATGGCTACTGTGTGGATTGCTGTGGACAGAGCAGATAAGACAAATGGATGTCTGCAGGTAATGAAACACGAGTTGTATATTAATATTCACAGAATCCATCAAGGCGAATGCTGATGCCAATGGTCAATTCTGTACAAAGAATGATTCAAAGGCATGAAATATTGATGTCTCTGCAGTCCGTAAAGGTAGCATTGCTTACTCCTACTTTTGGTACAAAATTTAGATCATGGTGTAAAGTAACAACACTTATATTGCATATTCATTTCCCGTTCATATTTAGGCGACACCACCAGCTTCTCTAGTGTTTTTTTCCTATAAAGTGCATAGTGACGTCCGCTAACTTCATACACGCAAAGACAAGTACCTTTCAAACCTATTCCTACATGCCCGCCACTGTATAGATTAGACCAAAGAGACTATATTTAATCACCACATCCTTTATATACGTGCAGATACTACTTGGCTCCCATCAAGCTGGGCGACTGGAGCACCTGAAAGTCGGTGAGCAAGCAGGGGCTGACCCGGAACGCGTAGAACTCCTGGCCAAAACCTGCCCCTTGACCTACGTCCAGCTTGACCCTGGAGACGCTGTGATATTTCACTGTAATCTGGTCCATCGAAGTGACCAGAATCAAAGCCAGAGCCGCCGTTGGGCTTACCTTGTCTGCTATAACCGTGCATCCAATGACCCAGTGTATAAACACCACTATCCCAACTACACGCCCCTGTTTAAGGTGGTATAGTAGGCCTACATTCTAATGTTTTCATAGTAACTTGAATTAATCTCATATATATATATATATATATATATATATATATATATATATATATATATATATATATATATATATAAGATTAATATATATATATATATTTTTTTTTGCTAAATTGCCATAATACACCACATTTCAAGTTGAACATAGCTGAATAGACCCTTAGCGTTCATTTTACTATCAACACTTTAACATTTATGTGACCTTTACATTGCTTTGTATAAGGCTTTATCTTTATGGACTTCTTTTATTGTCAGCCCTTCCTCTTTAGATTGCAATTACTGAATATTTGGTTAATTTCAAATGAGCCAGTAGTCATCACATTGGCAAAATATGAAAGCTCCTTTCTCCATTTATTTCTATAGGCATTTTTACTCCCCTAAACTACCATTTCTTACAGAAAAAAAGGGACGTCACATGCAATGTGTCCATTACGAAATATTAGCGACTGATGTGCCACTTTATTTTATAACAACATATCGTACTTTTCTTATTTCAAGGTGCCGAATAGCAGAATAAAGGAATGTGACACTAAAACATCCACCGAACGAAAGATTTTTTTCCAAGGACCCTCTGATATCCCGGGCTTCTAAAATAAAATGCAAAATTACAGTACCAGCAATAAAATTATTTTGCAACAGACAACTAGCGCACTACGTGATCAGAGAGTAACGTGCAATTCTTTACACATGTGGAAGTGAATGAATCTCCAAATCAAATGACCTTCTGATTTTGTCTGAAAATATATAGTAATTTAGCAGAGCGCCACATTAATTTTTTGTTACAATTATTTTATGATTGGAGAGGAATACACTATAGCTGTAGCTCTAATTTAAGCTTCATTTGGGTGAATGTCTATTGCTTATGCACTGTAGAATGCTACGTTGTACGTACTATATGTTTATTTCTTGCAATATCAGTACAAGAGTAATAAATACACGAACTGATTGTGTGTAGAGAAATGTGTTTTTCCCCTCTTCTTTCAAAGCCTTTTCTGGTATTACATGTGCATGAATTGGACAACTGGAATATCCTCTGTTGACGTACAAAACTGACTTTTCTTTTATTTGATTAGACAACTTACTCAGAATTACCAAGGGAGTTAAAATTCAATGTTTAGTTTATTGTGGGAACAGCTAGTGGGGGTTCACAGAGGGGGGAGACGCCCCAGGACTTTTAGACCCAAGAGTGGGACATTTAATGACGAAAAATAGAGTTCATTTTGATGGCAGAGGACTTAGTACCTTTACTTTTAATTTATTGAATATGAAAGATATTAAGGTAGTAGATATTAAGATGGTGACTGACATCTTTAAAATTGAGAGATGAAATGTGTATTTGTTACTGTTATTTTAAAGGAAGATAACCCCTCCTTCATGGTCATTGATCATGTTCTCCCTATACAGTAAGTTTGTAAATTTTGTATCACACTACTTTATAATTGTTTAAAAGGATTTAATACATATTTAGTATTGATGAAATTTCTATTTACATTTTAATCATAGCAGGTCTTGTTGTATGTGTTTGCTTAATATTAAACAGGCCAGTATATCTGTTTTCATTGTCTTAAATCTTTCCTTTTTTTATAGCTTGTATTAGAGTAACTGTACTATTTTTTTTCAGAAAAAAAAATGCTGCCATAGAAGGTTCCAGGCAGTAGAGTGATATGTTAAAATAATCCATTAAATTTGCTCAAAGCACTATGTGTAAAACATTTTTTAAATATAATGCATGAGCTTTTACTGAAACCCAAAGACTTCAATGTAGTTCGTTGTCAAACCATTATAAAAAGTGACAAAGTTAAAATATAGTAGGGACCTTTCAGTCAGTCCAACACGTATGTCTAGACATCATGTCAGTCTGTTACAGGCCTACCCAACTACCAGACTCGGCACCTAAGGATCCTGAATTAACCGGTATATCGGACCACACTACCCGTTTTCAAGGTGTGTGTCAGATCGCATTTCGGAGTATCAGCCAGAACACCGACAGGATGAGCCCTGGCATGCTCGGCTGTCACCTTGATTGGATAGTAAACGATTGTCGTAAAATCGCTATATGATTTTAAAACCGGGTGCATAAATTTGAAAGCCACCTAGATGAACCTTACACTGCCACATTAATCTAATACAATGCAAAAAAGCCCTATCAAAAGTGATTAAAACATTCAAACCGAATGTCGTAAAGTCCCCATATATCCCCATAGAGACAATAAAATAGAGTACTCTAAAGTAAGAGTACAGTTTAAGGTTGTTCAGCCGAGCGTGGATGAGCCCGCAGTCATGCTACAAAATTTGTTCTGGGATATGATACTCCGAAATGCGATCTGACACACACCTTGAAAACGGGTAGCGTGGTCCCATATACCGGGTTATTCAGGATCCTTAGGTGCCGAGTCTGGTAGTTGGGTAGGCCTGNAATAAAAACCAAGAGAAACTTTATATTTTATCTGATTTTTTGATACTGTTAAATATATTTAATCCATAGAGAATTTGAAAATTATAATAAAGAAGCCCTCATTTGAAGGCCTTACCATACAATAGAGGTGGTCAGTTGAGATAAGAGTGGACCTATCAGTTGACCAATCACACTATATATGTATGCATATTGTTTTTTCTATGTCTCATATGATAGACAATACTCTGTTTAACTTTGTCCTTTTTATATGTGAGGAGTACTCCAGCTATTTTATCGGGAGCTACATTTAGATCATTTGCATATAATCAACCTGTGTGTGGATATTAATCTGACAAAGGAGTGATCAATACACTGGGCAATGTGTACTGTACTGAGTATAGCCATATGACGGCTGATATGACTATCGCAGACTTCTTTGTGTGAAGAACCTGGCTGATAAGAACAAAACTGAGCAAATCCATTGTCATATTGATGGATGTTTCAGGAGTTCAGCTTAGTGGATTTATTTAAGTTTGTAGCATTATGATCAGATATGAGTTTTGGCATGCCATCTCTCCTGCACCAGAGAAACAGGTAAGGGTAACTGAATGACAGTTATCATTATAATTGTTATTACTGGGAAAAGTGCCATATACCGGTATATGCACTGGCAAGGTCAATTGGATGTTATCTATTGTTGAAAAGACAGGTTTAAATGACTATTAGTCCAGGAGTCGAGCCAAATGAAACAATTACTTCGGCTTGGATTTGTTGTCCAATTAAAAAAACAATTTTAAATTTTGTTCTCCAAAATTTGTGTATGACTAGGCCTTTTTTGGTTGTCAAACCACAGTTTTCTGTAGATTAACCCAATTTTGCATGGGACTCTTGCTGAATGCAGTCATATAAATAGATAGGCATTGGTTTGAATACAGAAAAGCTGGTGATTATACGAGCAGGTTGAAAACAAGAGGAGGCATGTTAATCTGTTATAATAATGTAAGAAAAACAATAATAATCATAATAAGCTATTATTATTATTATTATTATTATTATTATTATTATTATTATTATTTTAGAGAGAGATACAAATATTGATTTTCCAAAAGCAGGCCTACCCAACTACCAGACTCGGCACCTAAGGATCCTGAATTAACCGGTATATCGGACCACACTACCCGTTTTCAAGGTGTGTGTCAGATCGCATTTCGGAGTATCAGCCAGAACACCGACAGGATGAGCCCTGACATGCTCGGCTGTCACCTTGATTGGATAGTAAACGATTCTCGTAAAATCGCTATATGATTTTAAAACCGGGTGCATAATTTAGAAAGCCACCTAGATGAACCTTAGACTGCCACATTAATCTAATAAAATGCAAAAAAGCCCTATCAAAAGTGGTTAAAACATTCAAACCGAATGTCGTAAAGTCCCCATATATCCCCATAGAGACAATAAAATAGAGTACTCTAAAGTAAGAGTACAGTTTAAGGTTGTTCAGCCGAGCGTGGATGAGCCCGCAGTCATGCTACAAAAGTTGTTCTGGGGTATGATACTCCGAAATGCGATCTGACACACACCTTGAAAACGGGGTAGCGTGGTCCGATATACCTGTTAATTCAGGATCCTTAGGTGCCGAGTCTGGTAGTTGGGTAGGCCTGAAAAGGGTAAACCAGTCACTCATTTTCATTTCCCCCCCATGATTCTAAAACTTTTCAAAACAGTAATCCAGTTGAAAAAAAAAACAGTATGTAATGGTCCAGATCACACTGTCAATGCTGCACAGATATGATTGAGTAGTTTTCAGTGTGAGAACACAATTGCTGTAGTTGTACTTTTATATGTCAGTTTGTATTAATGTGCAGGAAGATGCCTAGGATTTTTTGCAATCACTTCACAAAGACACTAGTGTGTAAGGTCAGTTTGGTTTCATTTAATTTTACATAGTAAAATTGCTGAAACAAAATTCAATTTATTACTTATCCTGTTATTAATTTATTTATTGGGAATGAAACTGTTTAAAATGGTAATGTAGTGTTTTTGTAAATCGTAAAAAAATTGTGAAAATTAACTCATTTATTTGGGCTGTTAAATATTTATTTTGGCACATAATACAAAAATAGTTTTTTTAAATTGTAGAATTATACTCCTCGAAAAAGACATATTGATTGATAAAATGAAATGGTTACTGCAGAAAAGTAGAAAAATAAAATAGTCAAAAACAATGTGTAATTATTTTCACCGCCTGACATATTTTGTTTTTTTCTTTAAGAATCTTTTGCCATTTTTATAAAAAAAGGAACATGTACTGTAGAGTTTGACTGGTTGTCTTAAACAGGAAAATGTTTTAAGGGATAAGCTTAATAGTTGATTATTAAAATTCTCCAAATGTGTGAAAATGTCAATTAAAATATTTTATTTGATATTGAAATGCAGTCCTGGCTTTCCTTTTAATTATTATGTGCATTGTTTTCTGCCTTAATGAATACTTAATGATACCAGTACATTTCCCTGGCTTGGTGCCAGCCTCAGGTAGATTTATTTGTTTAAGTGTTTCTCCTAGCACACCTGTGTTGATAGCAGTACAGGTAAACAGAACTAGGTCACAGCTGTGGGACATGGGTGGACCGGCATTGCAGTGGACATATACATAAGTCATTCTACAGGTACTTTTCAATAAACTCTGTACATATTTGCATTGCTGTACATGGAGACCTAGAGAGCAGCTTAATGCTTGGCAATCTGTCATATTGTTGTAACAACTTGTCAGAAAGACTATACTGTGTATGACAAAATTTTCATCAACAGTGTGACCTTCAGAGGACTAGAAATAATCAAAATGTTCACATCCGTAAACGAAGATAAAAAATCCAGATGAAGTTGATGGAAGTGTTCGTATAACTTTCACGTAGAGACAAAACATGGCGAACAACCCCTATTTTCGTGGTCCAGTGAATGACCTAGTTGCCGTAGAACTGGAAGACCCACCTGAAGGCCCCCTTGACCTACCAGAACCAGGTGACCAGGCAGAGGAGGGCGATGTGGAGGGACCAGGCGACCCAGGGGAAGAAGAGAGGGGCATTTCAATTCCACGTGGATCTGAAGATGAACCCCAGAGTGGTGAGGGTGTGGCCAGGGAGCCGGAGGGGGGTGGTCAGCAGTCCAGGCAGGGCAGTGAGCAAGCAGCTAGAGAGGAAGAAGAAGAAAAGAATGCAGAGGTGAAAGGAGTGACGATTTTTTAAATTTAGTCTGACATTTATCCCAAAATTAGGCCATGCTAGTTTATATGATTGGGTTAACAGTGGGAATTAATACCATGCATGGTTCATAAATAACTAGTTTAGTTTACTTTCTTTAGTATAGCTTTTAGCATGGCAGGTGTATTTATACAGCCAGTACATAGCTGCTACCTGTTACATAGTAATGACAGGTGCCCCTGTGATCCATCATCTTCCTAACCTAGTTTTAAAATGAATGTGGTAGGCAGCTGTGGTAGTATATTCTGATAGGTGAGACAGCTATAAAGATATTGTGTCATCTTCCAATATTGGAACAGGCATATACCCCAGTATGTTCAGTTTAGTTTTCAAAAGGTAATAAATGCATGATGATTACAATAATAAATTATTAAACAACTAGTTTAGGGTTTAATTTACACAGATGGTTACCAGGCTATGTGCGCATGTCATGTCATGTCATATCATCATATTCCACACATTTTTAGAAGCGAGGAAAATACAAGTAAAAATACTATGCATTTGGAACATTTTTAATGCCCCGTTCACACTACAGTTATAGAGCACCTACTAGTATACTTGTAAGTTGTTACAGAAATGAAGAACGGATGTTTGTATATAAATTCTGTCCAATCATATACTTGCTGCCATGGTCATTACCCTGAATTTCATGGTGAACCCCAACTTATTACATGTGAAAGGTTGTCTGTAAAGTAGCTGCTTCAGTTTGTTGTTTTGCTCAGTATGATTTGCCTGTGGGAGGTTTAAACACCCTGTGTTTGAGACATTTCCAGTTACAGGCATGTTGAAAGCCGATATAATCTCTCAAAAACCCTGTGTTTCAGAGATTATATACTTGATTCCGGTATGTCTGTAACTGGAAATGTCAGAGGCATGTTGAAAATGGAGGTGAGTTCCCAGTGATCTCTGAAACTCAGGGTGTTTTGTTGATAAATGTGCATGCAATATAGCTGCCACAGCTTGTGATAAGAGAAGCTGTAAATGGAATATGCAATAAGCAGAATATTTTAATATTCTAGAGGCTAGAAAATGAAAATGAACCTGAAACTAGCTCAATGTGAAAGATGTTTTTAAAAGATCTGCATTATATTTATTGAATTGGAGAACAAAAAAGTTCAGTAATTAAATATTTTTTTCAGACAGCACCAAAACACCCTGTATTATATTTACTGAATTGGAGAACAAAAAAGTTCAGTTATTCAGTATTTTTTCAAACAGCACCAATATGTTTGTGAAGTAACAATATAAAAACACTTGCAACATAATTTTAAGTCATAACTTGTCATATTATTTTAAAGTTTAGTATGTATCATCAGTTTAACTTGCTTATATGTCTCAAGATATCTACATAACAAGACATAGTAAGTTATAACTGCATTGAAAAGCAAAGTTGGTTTCACAAAAGAAAACAAGAACATCATTTATGTGAAATTGATGATTGCAATCTTTAGGAAACGCCTTCTTCATGACCTGACACTGTGAATTAAGGCCTTGAAATCCTGTTTTGCGATTGAAATTTTATGAAACTTGTATTATATATCATATGGAATTAATCTGGCAGGCTTGCTCTGTTAAGAATGTCTTGTTTGCTAGCTGGCATATTTCTTGCAGATTTCTCCCAGTCTTGACAGGCGTTAATGTATTCAAGCTCTCATTTTCATGTCAGAATGGCATAGCATGTCTTGTTTGCTGGCTAGCATATTTCTTGCAGCTATTTTTCCCAGACTTGACTGGCATATATGTATTCAAGCTCTCATTTTTAAGTCTGAATGGTGTACTCTGATGCTGTGGTTCCTACTGCATTTGCTCAATATGTGTTTTGTTGAAAGAATTGATTATAGCTGCCAATATGATTTTGGCTTGCACATTCAATTACTTTCCATATTGATTCAGTAGAATGAAGTGAAATAATACATTGTCTGTCTCCTTTTAATAAGATATACACACAGAGATGTTTACCAAAGAGGCACAAGCATTGCAGAATTTACATGCCATGGTTCACTTCCAAGCCATATAGCATCATATGTCTGGAAAAATAAATTATCATGCAATTATATTTGTATATTATTATATAGGTATTATCTGACATCTGGTGTTTAATCCATACATGTATCAGTAGCATATGTTTTCAGAACAGTATACTAAATGAATTCCTTTGCATCTATAGGAAGAATATAAAGCATCATGTGGCTGGCTGTATAGGTGCCAACGTTTTTTAAATGCCATAGACCATGACAATAGTCCCTTGTTTCTGGTTGTATAAAAAGTCAGTAGCATTGTTTCAAAACATTCTGCTAACCATGTTCTTGGGCAGTCCTTAGGGCATAATATCAGCACAACATTTTTCTTTCTTTATAACTTTAAGAAAGCATTGAGAGTTCCCATTTCTACTGCATCATCAAAGTCAAAGAAGTCCCCTAGGTATTCCTGCCCGTTGAATAACTGTGGGGGGAGGGGTGGGTTGTCATCTCGGGATCGGCTGTTTTGCTGCATGAAGGCCTTGTCCGTATCACTGTTAGCAATATCTATGACCTGGTGGGTTATCTTCTTTGCTTCCAGCACATTTTGAACTCTATTCTGATTCCTCTTGGTCTCCATATTAGCAGAGATAGAGGAGATATAAAGCATTACTACCATGATGCTGCCAGGGATGGTCTGTCTACTTTACAGCTAGCTGATCTACTCCTAGTACTCCTGGAGGAATGCTCACTATCTGCTTTATAAAAGCCTGTGGTGGTTGCCAACTGTACGCTTGCTGTGTGCTTCCGTTTATTCCAGCTATAGGTATAAAATGTTTAGAATCCTTATAATCTCTTGGGTTTGCTGGCTGTTAAATGCTTTGTTTCCCTACAGTTCCTGAACTGCTTGCTGCCACCGCCCTACAATCTATACATAACACATTTGTTTTCTGCAGCAGTAAATTTAGATTTCTGGGTCAGATGTAATTTATACTCTTCTGCATCTGATCTCTTATTTTCAGCTTGGCTCTGCAAGTGGTGATGCAATTTGACGCCTATCACCTGAGGCAGAGGGAAAATCTTTGCATAGACTGCTGTCTGTATTACAAGGTCTATTATTGACCTGATGCTGTGAATATTAATGTGTTTCTTACCCCCTTTTGCTGAACATAGTTAAGTGATCTATCATACAGCAGATGTGAGACATGAGTCATCTCTCAGACTCAGAGACAGACTTCAAAGCAGAGATTACATATTTTTTAGCACATTGTAGGGATTTCTTGCAAGCCATTGTTTTTTTTTTGGGAAAAAATGCAGCCAAACAACCAATTTTATGCCAAAGAAGATTGAATATGATGAATGATAAAATGTTTTTCAGACACAAACTGTTGTACATTCCTTTTTATGAAGCGTGAAAAATCATGCAAATAAAAAATTAGCTTTATTTTACATTGTAAAATTATACTTTTTATGATTGAATATTAAAATTGTTTTAAGGTATGCGACAACTATTTCATGCCAGTTTTACTTGCTCATTAGTTGTTGATATTATGTGTAGGAGCTGATATTATATTAATGCATTTGATGGATACATTTAAGATGCTCTCTGACAGCTAATACCTGCCCGCACGCATTTTATCAATCATATGCGTTGTTGAGGTGAAGTTGGTGCTTCTATATGTTCTTTATAGTGCTGTGACATATTGTTAGGCCATAACAGTACTGTGGGGCTATTGTTGTCCAAGATTGCACATCATCATTCACATATAACCTTTATTTGAAAATACTTTTTTGAGTGATTTGTGATTTATTTTCCAGGCTTGTTTTCTTTAGTTTGTGGGATGGCATGTAAACACAAGTGTTTTGAAACAAATTTTTGTTATTGTTAATTTTAACAGTATCAGTGAAATATAAATATATTCATAAGTTAGTGAATATTTGAACTTAAAAATTCTTAAACTTAAAAAACATTCTTGAGGAAAAAAATGAAATGGAATTCCTATCTTCATTTAGCAATTCTTAGAGGCAATTTATTACAGGGAAATACCAAAGAAAGGAAATACTTAAGCAAAAGGAAATTTTTTATTTTTTTAAGAAAATTCCAAAAAACCAATCTGAAATAAAAGTCAAGACTTTCTTTGCCTCTGTTTGTAACTTTATTGCCCATCCAGTGTTGGTAAAATTACTGTTCTTTATTTTCTAGGGCAACATGGAAGAGCATGAAGATGACCCCAACCAAGTCCTTCGTGACGAAAGTGACTTCATACAGAATGTGTCCCAGTTCTTCAACCAAGAGGCGCTCAGTGATGTCATACTGACTGTGGGGGAACAAAGGTTCTACGGCCACAAGTTTGTGCTGGCAAAGTCCAGCGAAGTCTTCAAGTGTATGCTATACGAAAAACAATGGCTAAGTGGTACTAGAGATAGTGAAGTGGTTCTTAATGAAAGTGTGGAGTGTGAGGAGGCATTTGAACGTTTCTTGCAGTACCTGTACACAGCGAGCGTGTCAATAAACCCAGAGAGTGCTGTGGGCATACTGTGCCTGGCAGACAAGTATGGAGTAGGATCCCTAAAAGAATTGGTAACAAAGTATATGGTTCATCACTCCCGTAGTCCCAAAGTGACCAATGCTTTAAACTGGTATTCGTGGGCCAAAGCCTTAAACTTGACCGACCTGGTCCAGCAGTGCCATGAGACTATAACCTGGAACATCGCAGATATCATACAGTCCCCTGATTGGCTGATTATGGATTTGGAATTTGTCTGCGATATTCTGCAGAGTCATGAACTGATCATCAAGAATGAGTTGATGATGTACCATGCAGCTGAGCGCTGGTTGCTCAGTGAGAGTAATATTGCAAATATCAGCGACAATGCACAACAAATGCTCCCCCTGGTGCGGTTCCCTCAGATGATGGTCAGGGATTTGTTTGAAGTAGAGACGAGTGCACTGGCTAGTCATGAAGAATGTAAAGATTTACTGAAAGACTTGCTCGGCCGTGCTTACAGGTTTCGATCCCTGTGCCCATCGCAGAGCACCCTTGGGGTAAGTTTTGCAGATATATTTTACATGCCTCGTGACTATATTGATCTGCAGGTGGACAAAGTCAGCATTCAGAACACACTCAGGTTCGGAATACAGGTTGATGTGCGCACTTATGTAGGCCCTGTGCCGAATGAACAAAAAGAAGGGGAGTGGAAAATTACATATCGAAAGAACAACGACACCTGGTCTCTACAGTTGTACTGTCATGATTCGGCCATGGTGAATGGCGAGGCTAAGGTTCAGGCCACTATTCTTATACACAATGAACAGGAGAAACCACTCCAAGTCCAGCGCACTGGAACATTTGCATGCTCTAGAGGGAACAGTTTGAACATCCAAGTTACTCTGCAGGATATAGAGCCTTCTAAGAGCATGGTGATACTTATCAAACCCATAGCTGACTAAACTAATTAGCTGACTAAACTCAACCAGAAATACAGGATGATCACAATGCAAACTCTGCGTATGTTGCCGTCCAGAGGCATTAAGGACATGATGTTTATCCTTATTAAAGCAATATGATGTATTGTTATAGGGTGCCTGACATAAAACTAATATGCCAAAATGACTATATTTTCAGCACATAGCCCAACATAGAGCACTGAATGAGAAAATGCAAGGAAACAAAAACAGTGTGAAACTGCTGTTGGAGTACTTTAAGTGTTATGTTAAACCACACAATTTTTTACTGTTAGGTAAATGTAACCAATCAGATAAGTTATATGTTGTTGCTTGCAGTTTCACGTTGTTTTCTATTAGTGAATAAGATCAAGAAGAACATTACTATAATGAGATCTCACATGGTTCTGAAATCAGATATTTCAGACTCTGTTTATGGAAGGAATAGGTGGAAATTTTTTGATTAAATGGAATTTAGGGAACAAAAGGCACACTTCAAATGTTAAAACATTATCAGTCCCAAAAAATTGTCCCAGTTCTCATTAAATAATTTGAAGGAGTATTTTGGTAACAAGGCACATTAAACTTTAATAATTGTATTCTATTCAAAGTGTCTAATTTTCACATATCATGATGAAGACAGTGAGATGATCTATGTAGCACGTCTCAGTTACTGTTTTTTTCCTCCTCATTGAAGAAGCATTTTTATATCATTTTCACATTTCACTGCTGACAAACTAAATTGTTCATGGGTAGAGATGGATTTAGGTGCAGCCCACTGTGGGACTACACACAGGGACCAGTATTATTGGCAGACATCGTTTATTATTGCCTTATTTGTGTGACAAAGTTCCTATTACCACTGTAATGATGTAAATTAAATATTATTTGTGCTGTACATTGCTTTGCTATCAGCTTATCAGAAGTGGAATTTATTTTTTGAATATGACACAAAAAGAAATGAAAGAAAAACAATGTCATCTTAAGACGGTCTTTTATATTTTGTAATATTATGACTGTTTAATTAAACATTCTTGAAACGTAAAAGTGAACATTAGAAAGGGTCACAATTTAAAAGAATTTAAGACTCACCTTTTAAGGAAATGACTTGTGTACTTACATTAAATTATGTATTGTGCAATTGAAAAAGAAAACAGTTAAATTTTGTTTTGTACCATTGCTCAATATAAGTATACTTAGTTTATTAACTTTTCTCGCTATTATAATAGAAAATATTTATGTATTTTATAACTTATCTGTATTAAAGACTACATGTTGTATCCTTCACTGTAAGTAAGAACCTTCATACCAAATATATTTTGAATTCCCAGATGAAAAAAAATTCAAATGACAACCTTAATAACATAGGTTAAATGGTGGGGGGATGGGGAGAGAGATTTAGGTAGGTTCTTTTCAATATTGTAGTATTCCAATGTCATCTGACCATCTTACAACACGTAATAATGGGGACGAAAACTTTGTGTGCAGGAGCCCTATACTGTAACATGGGGCACTAAAATAGAAGGAAACATTAATTTAACTAAATACAACTGGAATGCTTTATTCCTGTGTTTAATACATCTCAACACAACAACTGTTCTCTCAATACTCAGCTCACACAACAAGTTAATATTACTATAATAAAACATCGTTCAAAAAGTACAAAGAAATAATCATAATTAAGATATCAATAATCCATCTTTTTTCAATGTAAACTATAAATTTAATTGGGAAAGCACTGTCACACATCTAAATTAAAATAAAAATGATCAAAATAATTTGTCATTGGGTGCATGTTACTGTACATGTGCCTTCAGCTGGGATATGCTGTTATAACAATATAATATTAAATGCACTTCATGGTAACAATAATGGATTTCTAATTTTCTTCAATCTTATGTGGCAAATAATTCCTTTCAAAAAAAAAAAAAAATCAGCTATAATACATTGCAAATGAATCTCAACAAGCTGAGGGTGGAGTACTTTTCTACAACTGCTGTGTTCTGAAATTCATCCAGCACACTTGTATAGGAACTTTCAACTCCCAAAACCCATTCACTAAGAATAAAATTTAAGGGTTATAAAATAACCATTCAAAAAATTTAATTTGGTAAAACCATAGTCAAACCTCATTTTATCACTGCAAATTTTCACTTGGGGCACACTGTTCTGTTTAATTCAATTTGAAATTGTTTATCTTTTTTACCTCCCTCTTACTGAATCTGATCCCTGTATTTATTCTGTTCAACTTCAAACAAACTTATAATTTTTCCAACACCACACCATGTCCAATAGATTCCATATTCCTACACAACTCATTAAATAACAAATTGGATAAAACTTTAAAGAGTTCAACATTTGCAATGTCAACACTAAACAGAACTTCCTCCTTTTCCTACACTTGTATTTATAGCTTCCCTTCCTTCCTGGGTTAAGTTTCACCTCTACATACAGTCTCTGAATCACAGTCACACGCTACTGGTCCCATACACATGGATCACAACCTTGGTTCACATCACACTGCACTCTCTTGAACTGTAGTTTGTGCAGGCTGGGGCATCTCAGACTCTGTAACAGAACAATAAAATATATACAATTTATTACAATTCAATAAAGCAGTGATTTTTCAATCAAATTACCATATTTGGTATAATCTGAACTTAGAAAATAAAAGAGATAAAGACATTTAAAAAATATTTTATACCTATTAACACCAGGAATGCACCATGTCAACACTGAAACAACTTGACTTATTTTCACTCTTCTTTTCTAATCCTGGCTAACCTAAACTCCTTTCCTGTGCTCTTAAGCAAAGGAAGCATGTTTCAATAGGAACCCAGCAGAACTGATAGCAAAGACCACATCCTTTTTGAATGATCTCCTTTCTAGCTTGTTCCTTCCTTTGTATTTTGTGCTATCTGATTTACTGTGCAAAAGTGCTGCCAAGGCATCTAAGGTCAAGACATTGTACTTAAATGAAAAGTGAAATCTCATGCAAAATGCCTTTTGAAATTCAATCCCCATTCAGTGACAGGTGCAAGTACACATGACTTGGCTTTAGTGTCCTCAACTGACTAGCAATTTGTTTTCCCTCTAACTTGTGACCATGCACATTAACCAGTTCAGAGAATTCATTGTCAGCAAGCCAAACACCTCTACTTTCTGCACAAGACCATGATAGTTAGGCCACACTTTTTTATTTTTATGGATGACATCCTCTGGGGACCCCAAAGTCGGTGCGAGCGGGCGAAAAAAAAAAAACAGTCCAAAAAAAAAAAAAAAAC